CTACTGCGCGACGTGGAGCGTAATCAGGTGTACTTGAGTGGCACAAACTCATATGGCTAACTTGATGGATTATGGCTGGGCTGAGTACGGTGAAGATAACCTTGGGCCTAAAACCACGTAGTTCTTCTCATTAAGGCTATCTTGAGCCTGAATGCCTTCTCTCATTTCCAAAGCCCTTGCCATGCCAATGATCCTAGTAACTGGCTGTCGAATGATATGAATCTGGACGTCCTACTTGAGGTTCTCGACTTCCTCGGGGGAATTGAGTATCATAAGATACAGTGTGTTCTGCAAGGAAAAGTCAGATAGTATCACGGTGTCTTGGAAGGGGGTTCTTACTGGACTCAAGGTCTCTCCCTGACTAGAACCTATTGGCTCTACAATAGTACTGGCGGTCTCTGATCCTGCGTCCGTTTGTTGTGCCTCCTCGCAAGTTTTCTCCTCATCTGTCTCAGCCGTAAAGAAATCGGCAGGGAGGCTTTCAATTTTAACCTTGCCTGGTATCAATGCAAGGTTTGAAGATTGGTTCGAAACGAAATCCCAATTGGTAGCTTTGTTGCCACTCAGAGAGGATATTTCATTCTCCGTCCATGCCAGATGCTTCCCTTTTGCGCATCTTGATGTGGACTGTCGCTGTCGGCCTTCGTCGATATTTCCGTTTTCGCAGTGTTCTTCTATCACTTGCTCAAGTCCTATTTTGTCCTCCCTTTCGCTACTAGGACTTCTTCTCCGTATTGGCCGATATGAGTGTCTAGGAGGCGGCCGATGACTGTCTGGACCCGGATGAAAGTCTTCTTCGTCGTAGAATCCGAATTGTTCAAGTTCAGTCCATCTTGAACCCCTCATCCTCCCCACTATCCTTTGCCTCATTTTCAACTTCTTTCCCTGGCTTCGATCCAGGATGTATGTTGATGCTGCCGCACCTCCTCTCTCAGGTGTCTTCCCAGACGCCTCTGACTCTGTCCGTCTGCATGCGACAAGAACGCAAGCTAAGCCTCTGGGGTGGAAAAGCTCATTATTCGCCTTTTGCAAAATTTCGCTTGTTGCGCTACGTTTTGCTGTATGCTTTCCATAGCTTGACGCCCCGCGAATTACCATCGAAAGCAGCGTAGGACGCGATGTGGTAAGAGCCGTCGTGTTAGCAAAGCCGTTGATGTCCATAGCATGGTCTCCTGGTGATCCTGGTGATCCTGGTTGCCTGTATACTCGGTTCAGATCGTCTAGGAATCTCAAGAACTCCCTCTCTTTGATGCCGCAATTTTGTAAATCAGGAGGGTAGGTTGCCGCAAACTTTGGTGACGATGTCCTGGATAGTCGCTGTTTGATCATGATCGGATATGCTAGTCGGGGCCGACTGGAGGTAGCACTCGACAGTTCAGGACCGGGGAGTAGATTGTTGTCAGGTAGTCTTGGGATGGCATCTTGTAGGACATCAAGATATTGCTGCAGCTCTCTGGCTCGCGGTTGATTTCGCAATTCTTGTTGCTGAATAAGGTGTCTTTCGGAGATTCTTTGAATGAGAGCAAGGCTTCGATTCCGATCTTCTTCTTCTGTGCTCTGTCTTTTTTCATATTTGCAAAGCTCAAGTGATGTAGAGCCAGTTTCTTGAGTTGACTGTGATTCGCAGCCGTCCAAGAAGCCCATGGATTGGCCAGGAACCGGTCCAGGTAACGACTCGGTACCGTGTGCATATGTCGCCATGTTCTGAATGACTTCACTGCGCCCGAATCTAGCTCAACAACACTGATCTATCAGGCATTCGGATCGATTTCGACTTTGCATTGCGAGTGTAAGGTTGAAAAGAATTCTGGTAATTTTCTATGTCGAATGATGTCTGGGAACCTCCGGACAGGCCGGCGGACATCTATCTGTCTGCAACACATCCCGATCCTGGATATGCGGACGGCACGTTGTGGGATGACAAGTGAGACACGCTACTAGTTTGAACTTTCCAGCGGTGTTCTCCGAAAGAGAAGATTACGTGCATAACCGAGTCCGGAGGTCAAGCGCGGTGAGTGCGCTGGCGGGTGCGAATGCGACGAGGGAAAAAAAGGGGCCCGGGTGCACTCCCAACTCGGACTTCGGCCCTCATTAAAGGTGAAAACCGACTCCGCCTCCAACGGCTCACATAAGTTCGACCAACCAACCCGCAGATCCAAAACAAGTTCACTAAGCGCAAGTGTATTGCTGTTCTCGTGGCATTCCTTATCCCACCGGGATCTCGAAAGCTATAGAAAAGGCACCGCATTCCTTTCAGTGGACCGCGCCTAACTAAATACAGCCATTGTTACGAAGCGCCTACATATATTCTTTGGGCTGATAACGAAGTCCATGACCCATCTGATGCCTTCAAAAGCTCTCGAGCAAACGCCTCCACCAAGGCAGTCTGTCCAAGTCATGTTCTCCGGTCTCAATCTCTCGTGATTCATCCAGATCGCGTCGGCGACCGGACATCAGATCAATTTCGCCCACCCTCCAGAAATGCGTCTTGAACCAGAACTTGTATCCGAACCAGATGATGGGGAACAAGGGTAACAAGATGTAAGCATCGACGAATGATCCAGCGTCGAAGGGAGCAAGGGTGGTCCAACCCTGTACAACGGCCAGGAAGATGTTTGCTGCCAAACCGAAGTAGGCATTCCATGGATACCACAGCGAAACGAATGGTAGTGAACTCTCCGCATGGCCCTGGGCCTTCCACGCTTGTCTGAATCGGATGTGTATGAAAGAGATGGAACCCCAGACGAGGAATGTCGAGACACCGCTGAGGTTGACGATATAAGAGTACGCCTTACTGGCGCCTGTGCTGATGTTCATCATGGATAGCGCGCCACATAGATTGGTGAATACGATAGCCGGGATGGGCACACCACGGCTATCCGTCCTGCCCAAGATCTTGGGAGCTTTCTTGTCCTGTCCCATGTAAAGAAGGGTGCGAGATCCGATGTAGATGGACGAGTTGCACGCTGACAGACATGTGACGAAAATGAAGGCGTTGATCAAGTGTACGCCCCCTTCCCAGCCAGCGTTCTGGATAGCCACCGTCATGGGACTCTTGACGGCACGGGAGCCCCCGTTGACGAGTTCGTCCGCATTAGCTGGGCACGTCAGACCAAAGAAGAAAGCGGAACCCATGTAGATAAAGATGATGCGCCAAAATACCTGGCGGATCGCGAGCGGGACGGCGACTCGCGGGTTCTTGGTCTCAGTGGCGGCCACGGCGACCGACTCGACACCAGCGTAGAATGTGGAACAGAAGACGAAGACTTTGGCGGTACCGCGGAAGCCGTCGGTGAAGGCTCCCGGATCACGCCAGTATTTGAACCCGAGGGCTTCCTGTCCTGGTATTCCTCCAGCAGCGTATCTGTGGTCCATGTTAGCTTGCGTTGATCGGAATAAATATCGTAGATGGTGATTTACACGATGGAGAAGAGAAAGTATGCAACCAAGCCAATCAGCTTTAGCAAAGCTAACCAGAACTCAGCTTCTCCGAAAGCCTCAACTCCGAGAAGTTGGAAACCAAGGAAGAGTGTCTAGGTGCATATTAGCTAGGTTTTCTCCAAGACATCGGTAGAAATTGCATACCCAGAAGATCAAGAAGTAACCCCATAGCGGCACTTTGTCGCTCCAAAAGACGAAGATGCTCGATAGCACGTTGTACTCATTGGCCAAGACACACATCCAGATGATGTAGTAGTTCCAACCCAGCGCAACACCAAACGCCTTGTCGACAAAACGATCCGCAAGCCCGGTAAACGCTCCACCGCTGGGATACAACGTGGTCAATTCGCCCAAGCTCTGCATAATGCTGAATGCAATGATACCAATTACGCCGAACCCGATGAGCAGAGCGGCGGGTCCACCGTTGGAGAGCGCACCTCCCGCGCCGATCAGGAGACCCGGACCGATGATGCCCGCCAGGGCCATCATGCTGAGATGCCGTGTCTTGAGGCCTCGCTTGACGCCGCTGTGCGGGTCAATGGCTGCGAAGTCGGCGTCTGCTGAAGTAGAATCATCGGCATAGCCTGCGCGGCCGACGCGCGCGTCTTCGATGACGGGGACGTCATCGCCGTCCTTGTTGTAGGCTCTGTATCGTGACATTGTGACGACGTGCTTTGTACAATTGCGCAATGTGAATGCGACGGAGTGAAGGATTTGATAAGTCGACGATCTTGCCAAGATCAGACTGTAGCAGTGGTCCAGTACCGTCTCAGCACCTTATCAGTCACCCCTCTCCCTTCTAGAGAGTTGGAAATTCGCAAGTCGACTGCAGTGTCTAATGTTGTCTGAGGTTGAGAGGAATATTTCAAACACATGAAGGAATTGGGCCCGGCCCTTTGGATCGGGACTTCGAACGCATTGCCGCGAAGTAATAGCCGGGTCACTGCAGTTGGGAAAATCTTGTCATATCAAAACGTGTGCAGAGTGACAGCGTTGTGATGGCGGATTTGCGCCGCGCGATCGCGTCATCGCCAGTCCTTGTCTCAAATTGTCTCCAATTGGGCCGCCGAGGGGCTTCAATGGTTCGAGACCCGCTTACATGCCGTTTAGTGCGGGGGCCATCCCGTTCTCTTTCACGATCGCTTCTCGTTTAGGAGATTCTATTAGATGTTGGTACTCAGCCGCGATGTTGGCGGGTTGACTCGTGCGAAAGGTTAATAGATGTTGCTGCAGATTTTTGGTTGGCGAGAACCAATTGAGACATGGTCTGTGAGGGTTATTTCAATAATGTCGCAAGCGCACTCGTCCTCAAGAGTATAGTCTTGGCTCGAGCTAACTTTTGTACAATGATGCAGGCCTCATTGATAAACTTTCTTTTATTATAATAAACAAGTCATCTTTGTCAAAGCCGTGCCTGCTGTTTCACGTTACATCATTCGGCACTATGCAAGCAAAAATGATAAGTGATAACGGCATAAAGTAAAGTAGTATGGGCTTCTCAGCCATCTAGGCATGCGTTTCCCATCTGACAGCCATGTCGAATTCGAATTTAACTCACGCTATAAGAAGATAGGCTCATTAGCGTCGATAAACTCTTCTTCTTAATACGGGTTTTCAACTTACCGCTTGCCATCTGCAAGACAAACTGAGCCGCAGCGTCCGCGTCCTCAGCATAAGTCAAATGGTCGACAGTGATGAAGCCTCCACTGCAAACAGCGTCATTGTCGTGACAGATGATCTTAGTTTTGCCTTCAGCGCCAGTAATGGCGCCCGGGTTGCCGGGATCTCCAAAGGTCAAAACAGAGTTGATCTTGGCCATGGTGGCCGCCGGAAGAGAATTTGCAGTGCTGCGGACAACCAAAGCGCCCTGGGAATAACCGGACATCACAATTTTGGTATTGGGACACTTATTAGCAGCTTCATTGATGAAGTTTGTCCTAAGCAGCCTGGAGTAAGCGTTCGCCTCTTGCTATGCTTGGTTCATCTTCGACCCTGGAAAAGCCTCTTTGGCAAACGCACATGCTTGGGACACCCTCGGTGCCATTTTTGTTGAACCCAGCAAAGGTCGCGGGGTACTCAACACCCTGAATCGAGACGGTCTTGGTCCCACGCTGTTGGTTGAGGGCGTCGAAGAATGGTGGGCCTGTAACGAGGCCGACGTTGCCGGGCTCAGTGGTGCCTCGAGCGAATATGACGGTGATGTCTGCGCACGCTGCATTCTCCTCCAAGTCATCCTCAGTCGTGTCGATGCCAACAGAATCCGCGAGGCCCTGTTGAAGAGGGGTCAAGACCAGGCCGACTGCGTCAAGAGCTGCCGCGCCCGCTGGCAGAGTACTAATGATTCTGAGGAACTGGTTCAATGGACCAGAAGGAAATTTGGCCAAGACATCAGGAATATCTTGTCTTTCCTCAAGATCTGAGAATTCTGGCGCCGTTCGTTTCAAGTCAGTCATGAGCTCGTCGGTATCTGAAGTAGGAAAGCCGTGAACTAAGGACGCAGTCTGCATGCGAAAGAAGGCGAGGACAAATGCCATCCGGCAGGCTGGAAGTGAGAGCAACATTTTGAGGATGATTTCTCGCGGTGAAACGGTTAGGTAGTTGAACGACTGACTCTACTATAAGATAGCAGATAACATGCAGAGGCTCATCTCCTGAAGAGACCGGTCGAAGGTCCAGAATATATGTTCACGGAGAATTTATAGGTTTCTCAGGGCCCCAAGGTATGGGTCGAGTTTGCAGTCCAGGGCAACGGATGTGATTGGCTCACCAAGAGCTGAAGTTGTCATCTACCATCAACAACCATGTCCTGTTTGCACATCTCGGGAAGGCTTTTACACCTCAGACTAGGGCATATACCCAATAATTCAGTCTCTATAGGCCTTGAAGTAGGATCACCCCGCATCGATTCCCGAATGAGTTCAGGGGCAACGTTCAATCCGGGGCGCAATGTACAGCCGTTACTAGTTTTGAAAGCTTGCTATGTCGCATTTATGTATTTACTCCAGAGTTTATGCCAGAGACTAAATGAACCGTTGGCGGGTTCTGACGTATGCGGTCGGATGATGCATGCCAACAGAGCTGGGGAAGAACACCAACGTCGGTCTTTGAAACACATGGGACGACATCGAAGAGCGTCTCAAGCCGAGGCTTGCAAAACTCCAGCCTCAAGCACAGGCGCAATGGGTAACTGCCGAAGAAATGCAAGGCCACCAACTCCAGCAGTCGGAGGGTGAGGTAGCATCGAGGCATGCACTAGTTGGGCTAGCCATGATTTTGCAGGTGCCTCATTGCAACCATCTGGACTACTCCACTTTGGCAGCTGTCTGTGCCTCGTGGCATATGACGAAGAAGCCTGGATCTATGGTCTGAGGAATTTAGGAGAATGAGAAGAGGTCAAGCGCTTTTCCTTAATGGCTAATCGGTGTCTTGAGGAAGATACACGCCAATGCCTCGCATAAAGTATCTGCTTAGTGTCGGACCTCAAATCATGCAGACCCTCAACAGTAGTAAGACGGATAGGAGTCGTGACCGTTCAGTAAAGAAGTTGATAATAAGATTCTACAGTCTATGGAATTACAAACGCCAAATGAATAAAGGAAAGGGTAATCGTAGACACCACATATACGAATAGCCTCTTCATCTTCACGCCTTGCCCTGAACATGCCGAGGGCTCCCCTCACTGGGCCTTCGCCTTTGACTCGTCGAAGCCGAGCCGACCGAGGACAGCGCGAACGCTCTCGCCGTGGTACGAGTACATCCACTTGCAGCCCATGTGAGGACCAACCATCTTGATGTAAGCCCAGATGGTCATCTCCTTGATCCACTGGTGAATGAACGAGGTGGAAGTCTTGCGTAGGTCGCCGTTCTGGGTGGTGAAATCCACAATCTTGGACACGCGGTCCTTGCGGTGGTCTTCCCAGGCTTGGATGACCTGCGGGCGGGCGTTGTCGTTGAACAGCGGCGCCTTGATATGAGCCAGGGTGTATGCGAGGGTTTCCGCGTCCTCAAAGGAAGTCGCGCCACCTTGACCGCCCTGTAGAAAGTTGTCAGCATGTCTTCATTCTCTACTGGTGGTGGTGGTAAACATACAGTTGGGGGCATGCCGTGAGTTGCGTCTCCGATGAGGAGCACACGGCGGCTCGGAGAAGACCAAGATTCCTTGGCAGAGAGCAAGTAGAAGCTAGAAATCTTGTCAGTATACGCACCATCATAAAGTCTGCAAATCAGGTAACTCACGGCCAGAGGGTCAACGACTCAGTCGGGGTCCGGTGGCACAGCGCACGCACAACCTCAGGCCAGCTCGAATCGATAGGGAATCTCTCCTTGATCATCTTCGCCAAGGTCTCCTTGTCGGCGTCCAGCGCCGCCCACTCCTCACGCGGCCGCTCCTCGACCTCAAAAGTCGCAAAGTAGCTGACCTCATCGCCGTCCGCTGATGCCGGCATAACAGCGAAGGAGCCATTGCCGCCGAAAAGCATGCACGGGTAGTGCATATCCGTGTCAACGTCGGGCAGGTCGCTGAGCTTGAAGGTGCCAGAGATACCAGCAAGGCCCTGGAAGACGGGCTTGCTACCGTTGGGGCGCACGAACGACCGCACGCGTGAGTGAATGCCGTCTGCACCAATGACGAACTCTGCCGTCACGGTCTCGCCGTCCTCGAACTCCACAGTCGCCGAGGTGTCTGTTTCCTCGCGGACAGCGGCGCACTTCTTCTCGTAGTGGATCGGCACGCCAAGGAGCTCGAGCTGGCGGATCAGCTCGCCGCGCAGGACGGTGCGGCGAATGCGCAGGGCCGGATAGTTGTATTCTTCATAGCTGCCGTTGAGTACCTTGGCCAGGAGGCCGCCGCGGCCGTTGAGGAAGGCGACGGACTCGAATGCGAAGCCCTGGGGGCGGAGAGTATCGTAGACGCCGATGTGATCCAGAACGCGGAGGGCGTTTGGTGAGAGGGCGATGTTGCCGCCGGAGACAAAGTCGTTGGGCCTGGCTTCATAGACTGCGGCGGAGATGCCGCTCTTGTGAAGGTAAAGGGCGAGGGTGAGTCCCTAGGACAGCCGTTAGTAAATCGTAAATCGTCATTGCGCAGATGAATGTTGGCCGTACAGAAAGACCACCACCAATGATAGCGACCTGAGCCATTGTGATTTGAGGTTGAAACGTGTGACGAAGTAAAGGAAATGGGTATCGTATGTGGCAGTCCTGGTGAAGATTCGGTCTCAAATGTCGATCGCTACGTATTCTGGATTATTCAAGTGATGGGTTGGTGTTGTCGATGTGTTCTGTGATGGATCTGAGCTCTAACTGAACTCTTCTCACCCTCCAAGTCTCTTAATCTTATACAAGCCTTACGTCTTCCATGAAATCGCACCTATCCGCTGCGATACGGGATCGAGCCAAGCAACGTACGATCGCTTGTCTGATACGGCTGCAGCCATCTCCGTCTTCCCCGGCGATTGACTGTAGGTGGGGGCTAGCAGAGCCGTCAGTCGGATCGGTCTCCGGTGAGAACGGAGGAGGATGGACGGCCTTGGGGTGGCGCCTCAATGAGATGAGCCTACATGTATTGCTGTGGGCAACTGCTACTACTGCTGCCTGGCATAAGCAGAAATTATACGTGTCTTTCAGTTCACAGATTAGCAGCCAACTGCAACATCTTCCGCCACCAACTGTGTCTCGGGAATAACTCTTTCCATAGCATATCGGATATTTGAAAGGAACGAACGAGTAACATCAGCCGAGGGGTGTGGCTGAGCATTGCATCCATTGCTTTTAGCTGACTCTGCTGGAGGCTAGATAGACCCAAGCGCACTCAGGCTCATCCCGTTCCACCAGCATATTTAGGGTAACCAACATTCTTTATGGTTTGTGAGTTTGAGAGCAGAAATCGCGTGTTTCTGGCGCCATCCTTGTATCCCTCGCCAGGGTTGCGCTCCGTATCCGCGCGCGTTGATGTAAGCGCCGTCCCGTCAAAAAGCGGACGCTACACCGCACAGCCACACCCGGCGCATCAAGATGACCTTAGATGTCCAGGAGACAAGGCACATTTCGCCCTTAAATAAGACTAAATGCGTCCCAGATGATATGAAACTACTCGAATTTCGACGTCAGTTGTTTCTTTGATGATTGTTCGTTGTTATGATCATTCCCCGCTTCTGCAACCGACTTCAAACCTGCGTGTACTGCGTTACTAGGATTGCAAATAATCCCATCAGCATTTGTACCTTTTGCGTAAAGACTAATAAGATGTAGTTCCTTTTTATCTGACTTGTTTGAGCTGGCTGTTGTGTAGTCGCTCTCATCCATCAAAACCCAAAGAATAGATGCGGGATCCTATGCGCCGAGATCGATGGGTTTAAATAGGAAATTATACAGCCGAACAAATTGATAGGAATCAGGCCTCGATAGAAAAAGTTTATCTGGTAGAATTTGCAGATAAATAGCATGAATGACGATGTTACAAATCTCGGGTCAATGGTCCCAATTACCAATGCTGCATGTCCAGGGTCATGAATAATAATTGTGGCGTAGACATGAGTACAAACAGAAGATTCTTCAAAGACTCCGACATCATTGCACACAACATATAAAACAGATAAGCAATCGAGACAGCAGTCTCTGATCAGTGCGTCTACGGAACTGTATTATCGTAGCGTGTCCCACTCGGGCCTAAGTAAGCAACTTCGGCGTATATCCGCAACGGACAAATTTTGGGGACCTCATGAGTGGATTGCCTGGAGATGGATGTCATGAAGTACAGTGCAGTTACGAGGGTATGAGCTGCTTTATTTTTCGGGGTCTCTGGTATTTCGGGAAAGCCCTCTGCTCGCGCAAGATGACTTTATGGCGATTTCAGGTCGGTGTGAGTAGCTACTTAGCTTGTCACCAGTGTGGATTAACTAACGAACCTTGGCAAAGGATGCAATTGCCGATTGCCCAGCCTTTGCTGGATCTTTGGTCTTCTCAACTCGTTCAACAATGGATAATCTGGACTTCGCTGTAGCGTAGATCTGACAGACTCCACTTTGCCAATTGCGGAACTATCGCCGCACTCAGATGTCGAGCTTGCGAATATCCCAGCGGAGAGTCTCCGTCCTTGCGCGTTAGCTTACGTGCATTGCATCGACTATCTTCAAGGGTCCTTGGAGAAATGAGCCCACCCGCAAGGCAGCAGTGGTAGCTCGCCGGCCACACAACCAACGACCTGAGAGCTCCATAATAGCTCCATTAAATGTCCGATAATGATTTGCCTATAGAAGATATGTGATTCTGGTCTGGACCGAAGGATTCGCACTCCACGAGGCACTACCCATCGGCCGTAAAGAGATGCTTCGAGACAATAACGCCGATCTTCTCGCAAGTTGCAACAGTAAGCGCGGCGATGAAACCCAAAGATGGTAACAGTGACAGTCGACACATCACTAGCTTACTCAAGAGGTAACTGATAACGTACAAGTTCTACAAAAAGGAGAACCCTTAGAGTTTAGACATCTTTATTTCTTGTTACATCGTTTGAACGCATATGCAGGGGGGGTTATCATAAGTCAAAATAAAAAAAGATCATGCCTTTGTGATGAACATGGACTGCACGTTGCAGTAAGCCTTCAGACCGCCAGCGCCGTACTCGTATCCGATACCGCTCTGCTTGTGACCGCCAAATGGCGCATCGTACTGCAGCTCCAAGTGGGTGTTGATCCAGACATTGCCGGCCTTGAGCTTCTTGGCGACGCTCTGCGCCTTCTCGACGTCCTTCGACCAGACCGAAGCGCCGAGACCCATGAGGGTGTCATTGGCGCGGTGAATAACCTCCTTCTCGTCGCTCCACCTGAGGACGGGGAAGACGGGACCTGGGATACCCCCTTGTTAGCCTCGGTGGAGAAACGACGTTTTTCATTTGCAGGAGGGGCGGCACGATTGAGGGGCAAGGACAGGTTGGGCGATTGAGTTCGCCCGTGCATTAATTTCACTTTGAGTAGCGGGAGAACATGAACTCACCGAAAGGTTCCTCGACGACAATCCTCGAGTTGTCAGGCGGGTTGTCAATCATTGTGGGCGTGATGAAGTAGCCCTTGCCGTTGGAGGCGGGCGCGGTGGATCCCGCGGCGACCTTGAGCTTCGTCTCCTCAATGTCCTTGAGGAGCTCCTTGACGCGCTCGAACTGCATCTGGTTTTGGACGGGGCCGAGCATCGTGCCCTCTTGCTGTCCGTCGCCGACGGGCAAGTTCTTGATGGCGGTGGCAATTTCGGCAACAAGCTCGTCGTAAATGGCCTCGTGGATGTAGATGCGCTTGATGGCGATGCAAACCTGTAGTAATTGGTGTCAGCGGCTGTATGACTTTGGCTCTTTGATGGGACTTTTGTCAACCAACTCCTACGTACCTGTCCAGAGTTGTACAGAGCCAACATGGCAATCTGTGCTATGTCAGCTTTGAATCCTCGACTTCCATCGTACACGTTGACATACCTTGGGCGCTACGGCCTTGACGTCGACATCAGGAAGGACGATGGCAGCATCGTTTCCACCACTGCGATTTCACAAGTCAGCGACCAACTCCACACTACCATCCGGGGAGAGGCGGGACGCAAAAAGTCGTCCCAAATCGTCCACTTACAGCTCCAGAGTGACGCGCTTCAGGGTCTTGCTGCAGCTCTCCATCACACGCTTGCCGGTTGCCGTTGAGCCAGTGAAGCTGACCTTGTCGACACCGGGGTGGGAAGTCAACCAGGGGCCGAGGTTGTCGTCACCGCTGAGGGCCTGGAAAATGCCGGGCGGAAAGAATTGCTGCGCCAGCTCGACGAGCTTGAGGTCGCAGTAGGGTGTGAAAGGACTATTGTAGCTTGGTGTTAGTGCCTGGTTTGTGTGCGGAAGATGACAGCGGAAATGGGTCTAGAGCTTACGATGGCTTCAGGATGAAGGCATTTCCGGTGACGAGGGCAGGGGCAATCTTGCCGCATGCTGTTGAGTAGTGTTAGTTGGGAACTTGCGCCGGGCGCATGAGATTGAGAAGGCCTACCGAGGAGGATGGGGACTGGACATGCTAAGTTAGCGGATTGATCGACTAAGACTATGGGAGTGGTACGACTTACAGTTCCAGGGAACGATGCCGACGGCGACGCCCAAGGGGACGTATCTCGTGAGAACGCGGCGATCGGGGTTGTTATCGACAACCTCTTCGGGGAAAGGCAGGTTGGTCATTCCCTTGAAGTGCTTGACGGCCTCGCCGATCTCGAACTGTGCGAAAGGAAGCTGTGCGACGCATGGATTGTTAACACGACTCATTCCGGGCTCATCACGCTCCCACGCCAATGACTTACAGGCTTGCCCTGCTCCTTGGTGAGCATCAGCGCGAACTCCTCGGCGTGCGCCTCGAGAGCCTCACCGAGCTTGAAGAGAGCCTGTTGACGCTCTTCGTACGGTGTTTCGGACCAGGCATCTTGAGCCTTCCTGGCGGCCTGCACGGCTCTGTCGACATCTTCGGGTGTTGAGAGAGGAACCTCGGGGTTGGCCTCGAGGGTAGATGGGTTCGGGCTGTTCCTCGTCTTGCTCGTCGACTCGAGCTTTCCGTCGATGATGTTGTAGAACTTGGTCCAGTCCAGCTTGGACGTGCCGTTCGTGGCCATGATGGACAGCAGTGTGGGATGAGAATGTAGAAGACTGGATGAGATTTAGGGCCCTGGTCTAGGTGCGGGAAGTTACGCTGCGGTCTGGTCCGTGGATTGTGATGGGAAGAGAAAAAAGTATCAGGGTCTGATTTTGGAAACTTGACTGGCACAGATGATCGGGTGAAAAGGAAACGCAGGGCGAGAAGAAGTAGAGGGAGGGGGGGCACTGGATATGGAACATGCGAAAGCGACTACCTTTTGCTTTCTCGACTTTTCTCTCTCTTCCCCCTTCTCCTGATTCTCTCGTCTGGGGGCAAGGAGGGGTCGGTTGGGTTGCTCACAATCGCATTATGAGGAACAATGAACCAGTGGAGGGGCACGAGGAGGGGGACGTGGAGAGAGAACCGGGGCACGTTACCGGGATGCCATGTCTTAGACCGAGGGTCGTTGTCTGGAACCCCGTTTTCGATGTCACGATGGCCGTTGTCGATTGACATGGACTACTCGCAGAATTGGAGCGTGGTAAGCGTGGCCCCGCGGCCAGGCCGGGGTTGTATGGGGATAGTCCAGAGCTATTTCAAATTTGGGGTAGCTCACCCGGCCAAGGCTCCCACTATGGGTAGCTTTGCCTCGCTCTGCGTGGCTCTTCCAGTCTTACTCCTCAGTTTTCCCTGTCTCTGTATCCGTTTTGGAGTAAGAGTAGGATGGATGTTGAAGTGGACGGGAACTGGTTTTGTTCCATTGTGTGTCTCGGTCAGGTTCTAAACTGCCACCCAAACCCGCAACACGCCGCCCCGCGCCGCACCATTACAATCGACAACTCACCCAAGCCAAGCCGCGACGGGGCAAGTGTTGAAACGCGGATGAGTTGATCGGCTTGATAGTCATTGGTGCGTACCGTTATGTAGCGTTATGTAAGCCAGTTTTAGTGTATGGAAAGTATTAAGGTATGCGTAGTGTTGACGCATTGCCATCTTCCGCAGTATGTTTACCGTTGCTGTCAATGCTGACACAGACTCTCTTGCTTCTCGTGCTGCGGGTTGCCCGCAGTAGTCTCTCTAAAGTGACGAAAGGGGGGAAGAAAGTTGGAGACGCAAGACAACAGACGAATTCGAACTCGGCAACGTGCCGCTTTCAACCCCTCCTTTCGCGTTTGGCACTTGTGTCCCGAACCGCACCTATTTCCCCGTAGGTAGGCAGAAGATTGACCTGTGCTTGAACCGATCGTGTTTCTTAGCCGGGTGCATTTGGAGAAAGAGGGTCTGACTCGACCACCATCTGCGCCGTGCTGCCGCCGTTTGTCCACCTTAGCTCGCCTCGCGCTGCGTTTGAGGATTCGCCCTCCCTCCTGCAAGGTTGGTCATGCAGACAGACTCAAGGTCGAGTCAAGCTTTCCACAGCTAATGGTTGGCTGAAATTGCTTCCCCCCAGGTCTTGGGTCTTCCCTCACATCAAGACATTGACCCGCCGGCTCGGCGCCGGCATGAGATGCATGGGGGCACATCTGCGCCAGACTCTATTACCTCGTGCCACGGCTTCGGCAATTGTGGCGGGCTGTAGCAGGCAAAAAGGAGCAAACAGAGCTTGTTCCCGATGGTCTGGCTCGCTTTTACGAAGCTAAGGCAAACCGGCCGGCCAGCTTTCTAGTGTACAAAGTGTGTCAGGGAGGGGTGGAAATGGTTCGGTCCAATTGATCCAGAATGCTCGGGTTCGTTTCTGGTCGCCGAGAGGCCGCGTGCGCGCGCCCGCCCGGCCTCCTTGAAGAATATAACGACATGCATTCCCTCGCAAAGCCCATCTGAATTCCAAAGGGCTCAAAACATATTGAGATTGTAGAGCAATTTATGGCGACTATCATGGGCGGCGAAAGCAACCACAACCGTGCGGTTGTATACACAGAGCCCGGCACCACCCAAACGGAGGTCGTAGAACTACCGATCCCGGAGCCTGGCCCCGGAGAGGTTTTGGTTCGGCTGTGAGTTGACACCTTTATTCAATATCACAAAGTTCAATTACTGATTACGCTATTTACTACTGCAGACAATACTCTGGTGTCTGTCATACCGATTACGGCTTCTGCATGAATGCATTCTCATCGGTCCCATTTCCTACACCAAAAGGTACGTCTCATCTGATTCGAACCGTCGACTCATTAGGCAAGGATCTAATCATGAAATGTCACAGGTCAAGTTGGTGGCCATGAGGGTACGTCAAAACTCCGCGTCGACTTTTAATTCCTCCATCGCGCCTTAGATCGAGTTGTAACTAATGCTCTATAGGAGTCGGCGAAGTCGTCGCCGTAGGCACAGGCGTCACATCGCCTGCGATCGGCGACAGGGTAGGAATCAAATACGCGGCAGATGCATGTCTCAACTGCGGTATGGTCATGATCATCTTACACAACCTACCTCCACTAATACAGCATATCAGATCGATGTCTTCAAGGCGGCGAATCGTCATGTGCACAGGTTAAACTCTCCGGCTACTTCACCCCCGGCACATTCCAACAATACTGCATATCGACGGCACGATACGTCACTCCCGTCCCCGCAGGCCTCGATTCAGCAGAAGCCGCCCCTCTCATGTGCGGCGGCATCAGCGTCTACACAGCCCTCAAGCGCGCCGACGCCCGCCACGGCGACTGGGTTGTCATCGTGGGAGCCGGCGGGGGCCTCGGTCATCTCGCAATCCAATATGCCCGCGTGATTGGGTGCCGTGTCTTGGCTATGGATATCGGCAGCAAGGAGAAATTCTGCCGCGACCTCGGGGCGACGGAATTCGTCGACTTCACGGCCTATCCCAGCGACGAAGACCTCACGGCGGCAATCAAGAAGATTACGGGCGGAGGCGCGAGAATTGTGCTCATGTGCTCGTCTAACAAGAAGGCCTATGTGCAATCACCAAAGTGGCTCGGATTCAGGGGCAAGCTTGTATGCTTGGGTGTTCCTGAGAACAGCAGCCCGGCGATTGCGGACGTAGAACCCATGCTCGTGGACGAGTTGACTATTTTTGGTATGTTTGACTCCGTCATGACGTCTCCTCAACATGTGATAGGCGCATCGTGGATGCGAATGCTTACTTGGATGCTCTGCAGGTGTCAAGACAGGAAACAGACTCGAAGCCAAGGAATGTCTGGAGATCGCAGCACAAGGCAACATTAAAACTCACTTTCAACTTCGGCGGATGAGAAGCTTAACAAAGGTAACTTGATCCATTCCAGAGTGCTTACTTGTCAATGTCTGTACTGATAAAGCGATTTACAGATTTTCGATGAGATGGAGTCTGGGGGCATTCAGGGACGTGTTGTGATCGATTTGAAGTAGACACATGCACATTATCATGATTCCTGTAAATACTCTCAATTTATGATGACTATGAAACGTTCAGAACGCTTCTTTCATTTCACATTCTCCCTTCCTTGAACGGTGGTAGGCAGCGACAAAAAAGCATGTGGTGTAATTTAGTCATCGATCCTCTCCAAGATGCAAATCAAACCGAGATGTTGGGAAGCTCGCCATGTTCCAGCCAGTTGTTGGGGATGTGGTCAGCAGTGGAAGGCTGCCCAAACAACCAAGTCAAACCCGATAAGTGCCACGAGAGTGCCACGAGAGACAGTGCCACAAGTGCCGACTCGGCTCGTCAACAACCGGGGTAAACTCCAGCTTACCACAGTATATGCCGAGATTGCGGGACAGCTTAGACGAGCTAGACGATAGAGTTCAATTAAGCTGTTGGGCTGTGCTGGCAAGCTCGGCTCATGGCGTCGGCAACCCGCGTCGAGGGTCAAGCGGCCCCGGGCCATCTTTCGCGCCACCCCGTTTTGATCCCGCCGGGCTAATTAACCCCATTGCGGGGAAACGGCGGGGGGAAACAAGAGGCCCATCGAGATCTTTCCCCAGACTTCCAGCCTCAGACGCCCGAGATCCATGATGATGTCGCGGGGAAACGGGGAGACTTCTCATTTTCTGACAGCTCTTCCCCAGACTCCACCGACACGCAGGCGCGGCCCCGCGCTGGGGAAGATCACAACCCCATGGGCACAAGATTCTACCCCAGACTTGTCGAGTCAGAAACCGTTGAACATGCTGAGTCGTCTTCTCACATGATGGCTGGCGGGTAGGCACATTCTGCAACGGGCCACAGAGACCACAAAGGGGCCTTGTTCCAGATCTCCAAGCCTCGTCATAGTGCTTCGGGTTCTGAGGCGTGGGTTAGGGGTAATCAGGCCAGATGAGTTATCAGGCACACATGAATGGTCGAGCTAGTAGTGATCGTGGTTCTGCAGCGACCATCCCGAAATGGGGTGGCAGTTTTTCTGACTCGAAGCTTCATTGAGCTATTGGGTTCCCAATTGGGTTATTGGTGATTGGTCTCTTCTGACACGTCTTGTTTGCTTCCTAACGCCAAGTTGGGTTGATTTGTTGGATGGCAGCAGATGCCGTTCTGACGCAGTGATTTCCTCATGCGCCTCACTCGATTTGTCGAGGAGTTGCATTCAAATCCATCCAGATAGTATTTACCAAGCCTTTGAAAGCGACTCCATCCTTATCCGCTTTCTCAAAAAAGAGACTCCTCTCCTCTTATTCATTTCTTGCGTGGTGAACAAGCCACAAGCGCAGCCAGAATTTGGCATGACAAACACCAAAAAATGGCAATGACAGACCTCCAGATCTTTCAGGCTCATGGCCTGTTCTTCGTTTTGGGCACTCAGCTCCACGTCTTTGTTTTCCGTAAAGGAGAATGGGACACAGCTACTACCAGACTCTTTAGGAACTTCACCCTGGGCATTGGGTTGCTGACGGCAGCCCTTTCCCGGGGAGCTCCTGAGACCTTCCCGACCAACGCAGCTGCGCTTAAGACAGCTGGGTCTCTCACGGCCGCGCTCGTCGCTGGAATCTACACGAGTTTGCTTGTGTACCGCGCGGCATTCCACCGGCTCAATGGCTTCAAGGGACCGTTCCTGGCGAGACTCTCAAACCTGTGGATCACGTCGCGAGCTGTCAAGGAGTTGCACATGTATACCGAGGTTCAACAACTCCATGAACAATACGGCGACATCGTAAGAATCGGTAAGGAACTCTATCAAATCTTGCCATACAGATCAAGAATGCTAATGTCAATGGCTTAAGGCCCGACGGAGTTGTCTATCAACAATCCAAAGGCCGTTCTTCCAATCCACTCGAATCGCTCACCGTGTACCAAAGGCCCGTGGTATGGAGTCCTGCATCCCATGTACTCGTTACAGCTCGTCCGAGACAAGCAAGAGCACGCGCAAAGGCGTAAGAGTTGGGATCGAGGGTTCAGCTCGAAAGGTAATCCAAGAACTTGCCCAGAGACGTTTTGGGATTTCGCAACTAACAAGAGGACTAGCGCTTAGAGACTATGAGTTCCGGGTTGCCGACTACACCAATCAGCTACTTGCAAGCATCGATAAGAACAAGGGAAAGCCATTCAATATTTCAGATTGGTTCAACTTTTACAGCTTCGATGTCATGGGAGACTTGGCTTTCGGCAAGTCCTTTGGCATGCTCAAGGAAGGCATCAAGCACTACTTTATGACTTCCTTACACCAAGACATGCAGGCTATTGGCATGTTCAGCCATATGCTATGGCTCTTCCCCATCTTCAAAAACACGCCAGTCTTGAATGAAAACAACAAGCGGTTTTGGAAATTTGTCACATCTCAGGTGGACGAGAGAATCGCGGTATGATGAGCCACCAGTCCGGGTCGAGGGATATGCATGCTAATTGTCATCAAATTCAAGAACCCCCCGGACCGCCCAGACGTCTTCTCATGGATCTTGGAGGAGTACCAATCCCTCAAGAACCCGACTTGGCAAGACACCCTCAACCTATACGGCGATGCCTACCTTATCATCGTTGCAGGAAGGTAAGTGATGTCTCGCATCCCACTTTGATATCCCACTTTATGAGTCCAAACTCAGCTGACGTTGTATTGGCGAATTCGTAAAGCGACACTACAGCTGCATCCCTTACTTGTCTCTTTTTCGAGCTAGCCCAGAAGCCGGATGTCTACCAACGTCTAAGGGAGGAGATCGACGACTACTTTGCGCAGAATGCGGAGCCTGAACACTCCGCACTGTCAAAGCTCCCGTACCTGCAGGCGTGCATCGACGAGACGTTGAGGCTTCACCCTCCCGTTCCGTCGGGCGTGCAGCGCATGACCCCGCCCGAGGGCATAGATATTGACGGGACGTTCATTCCGGGTGACACAATCATCCAGGTGCCTACGCACACCATGTTCAGAGGCAAGTCTCAAAAAGAAATGGTTTCATCTTTCATCGTTGTCTCGGCTGATGGAGTGTGTCTGTCGTACAAGACGTTGCTTGCTGACTGTGGCGAATAACGAATAGATGAGCGCCTGTTCCCGCAGGCAAACGAGTTCATTCCCGAGCGGTGGACCTCTCGGCCCGATCTGGCCAAAGACCCTGCCGCATTTGTTCCCTTTGGTACAGGTAAGCACTTAACTTCATTACCTCCCTCACCTGTTTGGGCCGATCGGTGCGACGTGAGAGCTGACGACAAGGATGAATCACGGCAGGCAAGTACTCGTGCGTCGGAAAGCAGCTGGGCTTGATGGAGATCCGTTACTGCGCCAGCCAAATTATTAACCGATATGATGTTGCATTCGCCCCAGGGCAGAAGGCAGAAGCGTTTATTGATGGCAAAAAGGATGGTTTTACACTGTCGCTGCCGGAGTTGGAAGTGATTTTCAAAGCGAGGGAGGCGGGAAAAGTGACAGCTTAACAAATGAGTGAGAAAGAGATGACGATTGGAGGTAACACAAGACTGCTAAGGCTGGAATGTCTTATAAGCCATGTTTAATATGTGGGCGAGGTATCCGAGGTATCCAGTGACATATCACAATTTGACGATCGACGTTGCAAAGCCAACAGAAACCCACTTTGCGCATGGATAACTCTGGCAGTTCGGAATCGAGTTTCGATAGGGCGCAAGGCTTGGTGTGGCTACACGAGCTGAAGGGTCTGCAGGGGACGGTAAGGCTTTAGTAGGTTTTTAGGGAAAAGTAGACTAGAAATTCCGTCCGGACACGGCATCCGCGGAATGTCAAAGTAGTGCTAATTAGCCCCCGTTGGAGTTTGGCTTGCCTGGGAAATCCTTCTCTTAGTACTAGCACAGTTGTCGACTCTTGCGACTGAGACACTCTAAGACCAATGCGATGGAGTGGAGGGTCGCCGGCTAGCATTTCCCACCATTTCCCAACCGCTGATTTGTCGCTTTTTCTGGGCTAATTGCGTGCGGAGCTATGGCGTCCGAACTCTATCAGAGCCACGCGAAGCCACCGATGGCAGAGTTTAAGCCCAATGTCACATAGGAATCCCAGCTCAGCTAGACCAGGGCGGGCAAGACAAGGCAAGGAGAGAGAGAGAGACAGAGAGAGAGAGCGAAAGAGAGCTACAGGACAAGCAAGTGCCATGTCCACTGTACAGCACGGCAAGGGTGGCCGCATTTTACCCCACATTCTTTGGTCTTTCTTCTCAACTTCTCATCCACCCCTCTTCCCTCCTTGCTACACTACCATATTCTCAGGCTGTTGTATCTGTCTTCGAATGTATGTCGATGGTGTGGCCGGGATGCCCGTCCAAGCCCTGTCTCTGCTGCCTCTTACTGTCTGTCTGTCTCGATACACGATTGGTTAATTAAACCTCAAGGAGTAAGCTTCCTTTTGTCTTTTCAACTCCCGGTCCCCTTTTTCTCCCCATTAGTATTGATGCCCGCCCGATCCACTTCTGCACATCTACCGTCAACTTTCTTCGACACTATCCGGACCCGTGCCCGGGCTAATAATCGATATCTCATCTTTCCGCTGACAAAACCAAGCTTTCCCATCATCCGCTTGCGAAAGATAGGGCCCAAACCAGCGGACCACGCGAGGAGAAAGCACAAACACTTGGCCCCTCAAGCGCGGACGCGCTTTTATTCTCGTTGACTCTTTTCTCTCTTTTCTGCCCATAATCTTCTTTCATAAAAGAAGAAGGGAAGAGCTATGGCGTCCAATGGACCAGACGATGATGCCCCCACACCATCAGCAGCAACAGGAGGAGGAGCTCCGCCAGCCAAGGTCCCCTCCGAAAAGGAGCTCGCCCGCAAAATCCGGAAGCGCGAGCTCGATCGCCGGGCCCAAAGGCAGGCTCGTGAGCGCACCCGCAACCGCATCGCCGAGCTCGAGGCCCAGGTCAAGGAGCTCCGAAAGGATGACTCGACGAGGCTGTCGGCCGCCATGGAGCAGCTGGCCGCCGTCACGCGCGAGCGTGACGGCCTGTTCGACACCTTCAAGTCCATCGAGCAGACGATCCGCGACCATGTGCTGCCGAGCCGCCCAACCCCAGCGACACAGCAACGCTCGCCGCCTCCCACCGTGACAGCGTCAACATCCCTGCCACGAGCAGGCTCAGCAGCCTCTCGGGATGCGACTATGCTTACGGAGCTCTCGGCGCCAACCTACACCGCACCCATGGGCCTGCTGCCCGAAACCCCCGCCGCCCACGACGTCCACGGTTTCCACGGTAGTGTCAATGGCGCCGTCGTCGGCAGGGTGCCGAACGCGTTCCCGGCATCCAGTGTACACGCGCCCAGCGTCCACGCACCCAGCTCCACGTCGGACAGCCAGGACTTTGTAGACGACGAAGACGACGACGGGGACGATGCCCCAGACGATCCCAATCTCATTGTGCCACCGCCCGAGGCGCACTGCGACTGCGTCACTGTCCGGACTCCCGCAGGCCCAGCACTCCCGAGGGTGAATGTGTGGCGGGCTGTTAACCAGGTCTTGGCGAAACGGTGTCGCATATCAAAGGAAGCTCACGCGGTCGAGGACACCAACGACGAGGACATTCCCGTGCGGGTACTACTCGAAGGCTGGGATGCCGTCGCAAAGACCCGTTCATTGTCCAAGTTGTGGAGAAAGCTTCGCAGGGTTGACGAGTTGTGCTTCATGACTTGCCCGCCGACGGAACGGCTGGCGATCCTTCGAACTATGCACCTGTTGCTGCAGTATCACTCCGATCCCACCCCGGAACGCTATGCTAAGCTACCCACCTGGTATCTGAAGAGGTTTGTCAAACAACTGTGTGGACGCGCTAGTCCTAGACGTATGCTGATCTCTTGCAGACCATCACAGGCGATGCCTCACTCCTATGCCATCGACTTCTTTGTATGGTACGTAGATACATCTTTATGGTAATTCCAGTTGATGCTTGAGTGCAGCCTCTAACAAGGTTCCAGGCCTGGTGTTCGAGAACGGTTCGTCTTCGGACAACATCACTACTGCAACAACCAGTTCTGGGAGCTCTTTGGTCCCAACTTCCACCTCCTCTGGCCCTATGAATTCCGCGACGCGTACAAGAAGAGCGTCGTCACAGGCCAGTATCAAATATCACCCATGTTCGAGCAGAGAATATCGGACATCAACGCCTGGACAATGGGCATGGACTTCTTCACCCGCTTCCCCGAGCTTATCGCCGACATTCCGGCATTCCACTCCGTCGCCCAAGCCCTGACACCCGCCGTCACGTCACCGCCCCCGATTCACCACCAAGCTCTACCCCAGCAAGCTTCTCTATCGCAGCTAAAGGAACGCGACGAGCGTCTTCTTCTCGAGCAGCAGGCCACAGCGGCGGCAGAAGAGCAGCACCAGCAGCAACAGCAGCAGCAGGCCAACCAAGACGCCATGGATTGCTCCCAGGCCATGCAGGTGTACCCTGGAAGCATCTACACCATGGCGCCTCCTGGCTTCATGGACGAGTTCATCCCGCAGGGCTATGATGCGCACGGCCCCGCTGGAACGTATGGCTCAATGCCCGGGTACTTTTGAAATGGTAATTCGCAGCTGAAGGATTACAAGACATCCTTCGACAAACTGATCACCAAAAGTTCACGCGTGAAAACGCGGTCTAGGTGACAATGAAGCGTTTACCCAATGCGGAAAGGCATGCGGCTGAAGGATGCACAGCATTGACTGAGCCAGCTGCACGTTATGGCCACTGGCTTAGCTGTCAACGTGCCATGGCAGGCGTTTCAGGAACGCGACCCGCCGTTGTGTCACCCACGATGTCGGCGGCGATCCTGACCTGTCGGCAAGCAAAGTTTCTGGCTGCAGTAAGGGTCCAAGACCACGACTAATCAGCGCCAAAGATCGATCCGAGACCGATGCCCTGCACCACGACCTCCAAGAGACGCGCCGAGCCGGTCGTTCGCGGGGGATGGCTTGAAGAAGCGGCAATTAGACGCGAGGGACGAGAATGCGGGCACTGTTTGACGCAGCCTATCGATGAATTGATCGATGTTAATCGAGCCCAGTTCGGATCACAGATTGCGTGCGCTTCCACGACTGGAGCTACTGATGCTGCTTCTGTGTAACACTGTTGGACCAAAATTTACGATTTATGACTTAAGGACTGGATGCTGTTTAGCACCCATTAGGAACAGAATGGCAGCCATTGTGACGTTTACTATACGTTCGTCAGGGCAATACGCCGCTTGTATCAAGATGTACCATATCAAAATTGAAGCATATTCAATCATTTCATTCGTTAATATGCCGTGACTACAATGCATCACAAATTTCCCACACATATCTAAACTACCTAACTTAGGAAAAGAACGTCTTTGGTCGCTCCAGAAGTTCACCATCCAGAACAATGTCGACTTTCTCATTGTAGAAGCATAGCAGACCAGCGATGCCTGCGCTCTCCTGCGTGGGAAGCCTGTAGTACCAGATCAAGTCATTGTACTCTTGGCCATCCACGACAACATTGTAGTACTCAGCGTCGCCCTTGTAAGGGCACTTTGTGATTAGCTTGCTTTTTCGCAGAGCTGACTGATCAACCGACGCTAAGGGGAGGTAGTATCGCGTAGGCAACCCAGTTTCCAGCAAATGAACGGCAAAGTTCGTCTTGGCGACGGTCTTTCCGGCGACCTTGACCTCTACAGGCCGCGATGAAGGGAGAATATCGATGCGCTTGTAGGGATCTTTGGGGTGGACGTAGATGGGCGTCTCCTCTTCGAGCCACTGGTCTGGTTGTGTTGAATGGCGGTTTTCTTGTCAGTTCCGAAGGTACATGACGGAAATTACGGAACTTCCGATGGTGGCTGAGACAACATACCCATACTACCGAACTCGAGCCTTATCAGACCCTTTAGAGCACCGCTGATCTCTCCATTGTCGGAAAATCTCAGCGCCCGATCGGTGGTAAAGTCGTTTTCACCGTCCCGACAGCCAGGAACGGTCACTTCAACGACTGCCGCCGCGGCTTGGGATGCGTCGCCCGTAGACTGGATGTCTTGCTTATCCTTCCAACGGCAGTTCCGTAGTTCTGTTATGGGTACATAGTACTGCGGATATGCAACGTGTTCCCAAACATGGACTGCTTTGGTGGTATCGACGACGCATGTACTGTTTAAGATGACTCGGACTCTGCGGGCGGTTGGATGAGTCTTGTGAGGGCCATTCGTGAGAAGATGTCTCGCGAGCTCAGGGAGACTAAGGAGGTTAGGCGTTATTTTAGCTTGTAAGAATTATACAGATGACTTGTCTGCACCTGACCCATGGTTTCGAGACCCTGATATGGTGGTTGACGGGCAAACAACGCGATGGAATGAGATGCATCACCGCCGACATGAAGAGTGACTTACTCGGCTCGGAACTGTCCAGGTTTAGACATTTTGCCCAGTTTTCGGTTTGCTCTTCCTGTGCACTAGTTGAATTGAGCTGAGTTACGAAAAAGCAATTGCACATGAATGTTTGCTTTTGATAGAATGAGCTATGAGAATGCCATCTCATCTTCCTTATTAGTGCCCATCAACCCCGCGCTTCTCCCCATTGTGACGTCTGCCACTTTACGTCAGCATTTCTTGATCCGCGTGGTCCGCGTAGTCCGGACAAAGCGCCGGCTCGCGCCGTTACTCAAGGCCCCACATCTCCGGTAGTTTCTATTTTGCAGCCATCAGTCCCAGAGGAGCTACAATCAAGTCATCATCTGTTTCTCGATACGCGTATGCTGCTCATTCTTCGGATTTGAAGTTATAAGAAATATCTATCCCTTGATGATGCATCTATTTCGGTCGGTCCGACTGCTGCATGTCGAGGTCTCGGCCGTTTGAATTATCGCTGAATACCTTTCTCTCTCAGCAAATTGACGTTGCATGCGATGAGGTGGTAACATGTGTAATCCCATCGATTATGTGAAACCCAACAAGCGGCTCATTTATCTGGTTGAATTAACAGCCTACTCTAGCCGGCCATTACCGACTTTTGAAAAAGTCTAGAACCTTCCTTGAGACTTGGTGGCTGAGACATACAGATTGGAAGATGTGGTTGCAACGGTTGAGACTGCCAGCCTCCAGGCAAGTGTGTTCCCGGGCTGACCGCTCCGAGAAGTGGGGGACTGCAGAAACCAGGGCCATCCGAGACCATCTCGAAGCCACCAATGTGTGTCAGAAGGAAGGGCATCTCCCACTGAGCTAGCGCCACAAGCCATTTTCAGCCTTGTTTTTGTGGTTTCATGCATCACTTTCCCCCTTACCCCCTTTTCACTCAGTCTTGGGCAAATATAGCAGAGCTTAACGCAACGTCGCGACGTTGCTGAGTTACCTTGGTTTTACGGGCTGACCGGCCTAGTGGTCTCTCGATATCTTGGGGAAATAGTGGGTCTGTCACCGGTCCGTCGATACAAGTCTTTGGCCTTCGTTCCACCAAGAGATATGGCCACAACGATGGTGAACTTGTTTTTGTGCCCTCCTCAAATATTATCAATGTAGAATCTACAACAAGACTGTAAAAAAGTGAGCCTCTCTTAATGGCACCTCATGGTCTAGGAGTTTGCCTCGACGCGGGACTGTACATGAACGTGTTCGATATGTAGAAAAGTTGAGTTACTGCGAGTCAAACCGTGTCAAGCGCACTTGAATTTCACAAACTGGTCTTTGTATCTCGGACACACATGCATGAACCCGTGGAGCGCTTAAGGTCATGATAGAATGTGAATAGGGTCGTTCGCGATTGCCGAACAAGTTGCTGGTTTACTGAACCCTGCAAAGGCGACCGTCGTTTTTCTCCTCCCAGCCCTCATTTCCCACACACGGCTTGCACCACAAAACGTCCTTAGGATCGACGCTGCGCTTGATTTTGGATAGTCGCGGGTAGTTCGCGCCCCAAAAAGCCTGCTGCCAGTCCTTCTCAAACGGAAAACCCTAATTAAATCGTTAGCAAGAGATGTATTCGGCTGACTTGTTTCATCAAAGATGGGAAACTTACTTCATTGATGTATGATCCTCCATCGGGTGTTAGCTGCCGAAGTGGCTCAAACCTAGCATTCAGAATCTCCCTAGCCTTCTCTCCAGCTGCTGGATCCCACGGTTCGTATCCCCAGCCTTGCCAGGTGACTACTCATCGTCAGTGACTTCTCCTACGTATGCCTTGATCTGGCCTTGAGACTTTTAGAGTTAGTTACTCACGAGCATGGACATACGCCTTTCTCCAGACCGGGTGTACAGAGTTTCCTCCCCCGCGGGGCTTCGCTTCATTGACACCCTTTCCAGCAACCAGGTAGGTTCCCAGCCAGCCATCATTGAGAAGAATCGGCTCCAGTGCACTCTTCAGTGCGTCCAGGTCATTGGTCAGGGTCTTCTTGTCCAGAAATCGTGAGATGAGATAGATAGAGCCCCCGGCTTGACCATCGTCAAAGTTCTCGGCATACCAGGCCGCGAATGAGTCGTAGGGTTGAGTAAGAACCAGCAAGTTGACCTGTCCAGGCCACCGTTCCTGGATCGTTTTGTTGAGTGGTCGGAAGATCTCGTTGATCTTGGCCGTATCTTGGGTGTCTAAAATGATTGTCTTGCCCATTAGGCCGGCGACTCGCTCTGGAAGACCCGGTATCGGGATCGGCGGCGTCGAGTTTACAGTAGCCATAAGATAGCCTGATAAGCCAGAGTCCGAGAGGTAAGGGAGCTGAGAAGCAGCCCAAGTAGCTAGGTCCAGAGTAAAGGGAGCCTCAGGTACAGTGAAGGCCATGAATAAAACCATAGTGAGCTTCTTCTCGGGATGTGTTTTGACCGTGACAGAAGTGAGAACCCCAAAAGTCGAACCTCCTCCCTGATATTCCCATGTTAGTAGAGGAAAAGCAAAAGCTCCCGCGACCCAAGACTTACACCTCGCATGGCCCAGAACAAGTCGGCGTTTTGATCTTCGTTTACCGTGATAAGATCGCCGCCGGGTGTAACGACCTCCATCTGCAGCACGTTATCTGCTGCAAGACCGTAGTGTGGTGCCAAGATGGAGTGGCCACCACCCGTTACAAAGCCACCCTGCGAAACGGTTTTGCCTCCGCCGCCTACGACAGCGCGGTTGTGCTGGCTCGCTGTAGCATACACATCGACCATCTTCGCTCCGGCTGCGGCGGTGATGGCATCCCCGGGTATAACCTTTCCCGATCCAGCGAGCTTGAACTGCCCCTCATGATACTGGATGTTATTGAGGTGGTGGGTCCAGATAGAAAGGGAGCCTGGCGCAATGGAGCGTCCAAGGTAATCATGTCCACTACTCTTGACAACTAGACGGACTTGATTTTTTCGCGCTGTGTATGAACGCTTGTCAGCTGAACTTGTCCTTATTTTTGCGGGATAATGCACTGACCAAAGTCGACGGCGGCCTTGACATGCTTCGCCGTGGTTACGTTGACCACATAGGACGGATAGCCTGCTCCGCTGCAAGGGAAGCCATCGAGAGGGACACAAGAATAATTGGTCCAATTGTCCCACATCACCGAGACAGGGTCTTGGGCATGGAACTCAAAGGTTCTCCAAGCCGTGAAGAGGTTGGAGCACTGGTCTGCACTGTAGTTCGGCTGCTCCGGGTGGCAGACGCTCCCGGGAAGAAGTGGCTTGAAGAGCTGTCCATCGACTGCTTTGTTCAGGCGAGACCAATCATTGCTCGAGGGCCATGATACCGTGCCTGGAAAGGCCTTGCACTCTGGGGATGCGGGAGTTGCCTGAACCAATGCAGACGCGCAAAGCGTGAGGAGGAACTTTGAGAAAATCATGCTGCGTGTTATGGAGTCCGCCAACCACGAGCCTTTGGAAGCATAGGTAATCAATTCGAAAAGCTCTCTCTGCATGCTTTATCTATCTCTGACGCGGTGATAGTACTCGGTTTGGTGTCAATAATGACGAGAACGCCAAGGTAGAGTCCTCGTGCAGTTGTGCCCGATCCTTCGGTGTACAAGGGCGCAGCAAGGCGGCAAGCAGCACCACACCAAGAGGCTTTGTGGATGACCAACCAATGACCATAGCACGTATTGTTCTCATCAAATCAACTAGTAAGCGATGCTTCTCATTCAACACTTTTGTTGTGGATGGCACGGAACAGCGAACCGAAGGGCTGATTTCAGGCTATAGGCTGCGAGACGGCAATCAGCGTGCCCTCCTGGACCGACGGTACCGTTCCCGTAGTTTCCGCAGGATTACTCCTGAAGGATTCTCGCCGTAGCCTTACGCGGGGTGCCGCAGGATTGCACGCGCTAGTTCCGGTGTGTATCTTATTACTGAATGCAGTCAGCCGCGGGACAGCTGTAGGAACCAAAGACCCTTTTGGCAAGACGAGGTTCATCAACGTCCCGAATGGGACGTCAGTCATGTCTCTGGGAATTTTGCATTATGACTGACAACCAGATGAGCCCCGAACAATCTTTTGATTGCAATTTTCTCTCCTTCTTCAGAGTAATTGGAATTCCTTAAGTCGTGGAATATTTGGGCCGCTGCTGAGTTCATACGAGGAACATGGAAGCTGATACGAGAGATACCTTGGAGATTTACATCCCGCCTCCATTGAATGGCGACAGTCAAACAAGCAATACTCATGAACATGTTGTTAACAATGATTTCAAAGAGAAGACAGAAAATCCTCAGGAGAAACCTGGAAGCCAGAGAAATGATGTAAATGAGATGACGACTGGCGAAGACTCTGACGAGTCGCAGACTCATCAATATGCGACACCACGAGAACTGGCTCTGTTATCAACAGTGTTCACCATTGCAACCTTCATGATAGCCATAGATGGCAGTATACTTGGTAAGCTTTTATAATTTCCCTAGATTTTAGACATTTTGATGCTCACCAATGCCAGCCACGGCAATCCCCAAGATAACCAGCGATTTTCATCGACTCAACGACGTGCCATGGTACGGAAGTGCGTACCTCTTCACAGAAATGGCATTCCAGCCTACATTTGGTCGCTTGTACACCTTATTCAACGCCCGGATTCTGTATCTGACCTCCGTCATCATTTGTAAGTCGAATTCGTAGCTTTCATGACCTCTGATAAAGTTACTAAATCGCTCTATGATTTCCTGAAGTCGAGGCGGGCTCGATTCTATGCGCTGCCTCGCCAAATTCTGCAGCATTGATTACCGGAAGAGTGATATCTGGTATTGGAGCCGCTGGCCTGCTTTGCGGGAGTCTGTCGGTCTATGGCAGATCGGTTCCTCTACGAGCTAGGCCGTTCGGAATGGCCTTAGTCACAAGCATGTACGGCGTTGCAGGAGTTCTGGGTCCGACTCTGGGAGGACTCATCACAGACACTCCTCGACTAACCTGGAGGTTCTGCTTCTGGTATGGCGTCCTCTTATCATCTCCTCTGACAACATTCTGATGTTCAACAGGATCAATTTACGTGAGTAATGAAGAAAGGAAATCCCAAGAAACCCCCTAACTATCTGCCTAGCGTTTGGGGCGGTGACGTTTGGAATCGCATACAAAATATTGAAGACGAGAACACCGATACATGGTCGACTCTCATTGCGCGAAAAGTTAAAGAAACTCGATCTACTGGGCGGATTCCTCCTCATCGTCGGCTTAATTACCCTGTTTTTTGCTCTTCAATGGGGCGGGACCAAGTATCCGTGGTCTGACCCCAGGGTTTACGTCTGCCTCGTGGTGTTTGGAATTTTCATCACAGCTTTTGGGGTCTTGCAGGCAAGGAAGAAAGAAGAGTGAGTAAAAACCAACAGATGATATCTAAACAGCTGTCTTTACCATGAGCTGACGGGGCAACCCCACGAAACAAGGGCTACTATCCCCATGCGAATTCTCTCGCAGCGAACGGTGGCCATCAGCTGCACCTTCAACATGCTAATGTCCATGGCACACAACACGCACATGTACTACCTGGCCTTTTACTTTCAAGCAGTCCTGGGCACCAACGCGGTGACGTCGGGCGTCCGCTGCCTGGCGTACGGAATACCGTGCAGCATCGCCATCATTATCACAGGAGCGTGCGTCAGCTCAAAGGGCTACTACGTCCCCTTCATGTGGCTCGGGTCCAGCGTCTTCATCGCAGGATGCGTGCTCCTCCAGAGACTCGATAGAGAGTCGTCGATGGGGCAGTGGATCGGATTTCAGGTCCTCAGCGGGGCTGGCATCGGGCTCGCGGAACAGGTCCCCTTCATCGCAGTGCAGGTCGTTCTGCCGGACAGCGACATGCCGACAGCATGTGCCATGGTCGTATTCCACCGCTTGCTGGGTGGTGCGGTGGGACTCAGCATCGCTTCCAACCTCTTTTCCCAGGAGCTCTACCGTCGGCTCGCAGGGGCGCCGGGAGGGGTCAACGTCAAAGCAATACAAGACGCTGGTGCATCAGACTTAGCGAAGGCGGTTCCCGCAGCTGTTTTGCCGTTCGTGCAGAAGGCATTCAGCTTTGCCATTTCTAGGGCCTTCATTTTACCCATTGTTGTAGCTGGTACTTCCTTATTACTTAGCTTTGGCATGCAGAGACGATGGATTCCAGACGATCGGGTGCAGCCAGGTCAGGGGGCCAACACTGGCGACCCAGTTGCACCTGTGCCATTAAATCAGGGAAGGAATGAGAAGACTGTATAGAGATACATAAGCATCTTAGAGTACCTGTGCAGAATCAGCGCCAGGCTATAGAAATTTGAAGGCTATTCATGTACTTATCGTTGGGAAGATGCAATCGTTCTGCTAGAATCACTGACTGGTTCTGGAGACATCATGTCAATATTGAAATCGTTCTTTGTCAACAATCGTATTGCAGGAGGTCTTTAGCGGAGTAGGCTTCAGCGGCTATAGGGGCTGCGCTGGGCTGAAGCGTGGAGGCCTTTACCCAGCTCCACGATGTGTTCTTAGTATTTACCTTAGCAAAAGAAACAATCTACTCGTATCTTTGGGTTGTGATTCAGAAGCAAACCCGAAAAATTATAGTATAGATTCAGTACAAAGTTGCTAGCGAAAATAATCAATCATATAATGTCAATCAATCAAGCGGAAATACCACAACTTGTGTCGAATGAAAACATGAGACGCCAAAATCAGCGCACAATCCACCTCAAGCTGCGTCTATCAACGTCTTTAACACGAAAGAGGCACGTTGCAAACAGTCTGCCCACGCAATAACCTCTTCCTTACCAGTAACCACGGAGAAATGAGCCCTAAAGACCAATATGTTAGCTTCCTTTGCCAAATGGGCGTTATTTCAGTAAGAACGTCACTCACCCTCCATCAGTAACATAGTACGTCATCCAGAACCTCTTCGGGTTTTGCATGATAAAGCAAGACTCGGGAGATAGCCCATCGGTATTCGAGAACATCTGGTTGGGCTCAACTGTCTGCTCATAGATTGGATTCTTGAAAAGAGCAGGCAGGTCTTCGCCCTCCTCTGCGCAGAGCTCGAGGGCCCTAAGCGTCCGCTGGTAGCACCGACCCGTGAACGCCTCCTTGATGATCTGGTTACGAGCATTGGCAGCCTCAACCATCAACTCGAAGCGTTTCCGAGCCGGCACACTTTCGTCGTCTGCGATGGTGCAAAAGTCCGCAGTGATCGGCGTGTTGACTTGTACGATGTCAGGCCGTCCCTTGTGGTAGTGCGACATGGAGATGGCCTCCCAGGATTGGGCGTTGTAGCCATAGTAGTAGTAGTTGGCGAGAAGACCCATTAGGTCGAAGACACCCTTGATAGGGAGATGACGGTCAAGGAGGATGTCCTTCCCAAAGTCGGAGAGCACGATATCTCTGTAGCCGAACTTTGAGATGTCGTTCTCAAAACGCTGTCGCACGTGTTGAATGCGCGCGTCCAACGCTGGTGTTGTCTTCAAAGTGAACTCTCTGGGCGAGGACATAACGCCATTGGTATGGTCGTTGACCTCTCGGGGTGGCTTATAAGTCATGATGCCTTCGACAATGGCAGTTTGCATCGCGAAGAGAGTCATCGCCTACAATTGGTTAGAAAGGTTTGCTTCAAAATGGCATGGTTAAGGGATGGATGCAACCAAACTTACATCAATCATCGTGTGCTCGACGTATGTGCCAGAAGTTGCGTTCTTGCACACCACGAATGCGATGGACTTGTCAACCCACCGGTTGAAACCATTGAGCATCATCATGTTGTTGATTCTCTCCTCCGCATGCGCAGGCTCTGTGTCGTCGAGACAAACGAGGAAAGCAGCAGCCTCTACCATGTCAATCGTCTCTTTGTTGACATCATCAAGCTCGATCAGGGCTTGTCGACTCTGTCATTGACCAATTAGTCTCACGATCGCTCATACCGGTGCGTAGATAGACTGCAGTGAACTTACCTCCGCCCATGAAGTGCGGTCGTCGGTGCCAAGGATGCTCGTCCAGTCGTCGTTGAGGTCCTGCTGGGCCAAGAGAGCATTGAATGTCTTGGTCAATGTTTCGATGGAAACATTATGATCTCCATCCACGAGTTCAACTTTGTAGATGTGTCCGCGATAGAGCACCGCCATGTAGTCGTTCCCAGGGAATTTAGCCATCCGGTCCAGCGGAACGCCAGGCAGCCGAGCCGTGTTGAAGATGTACTGCCAAAGATCAGTGCAGTTTGCCGTGAACATGTATGCCATGGGCTCCCATCGATCTAATTCGAGATCCTGCTTGGCTTGGAAGGCAATGCTCGCAATCATGGCTGCTCGCTCGGCTTGCGTGTGGCCCATGTCTCCGAGAGGGTGGAATGCCATGAAGTTATTGAACGGGGCGAGTGGCATGCGCCTCTGCAGATACATGCTCTGAAGGAAGTACTTCTCCTGCCAGTTCTCGATGGCGGGGTCGTGGGCCTGCTCATACAGACGACCGTAGAACTTCCGACCAATGCTATCTGGCTTTCTGAACTCGGCCACATCGTCCTCGATAGTCTTGAAGTCTTCGACGGAAAAGAACATTCTTGACTTCTCCAAGTAATCGTCAAACATGACGTCAAAGTCAACAAGAGGCATCTTTTGAAGCGTCTTGATTGCTCGACAACAATGGAAGTTATGGTTGGTATCTGGTGCTGCAGTTTCGATGGCCAAGTCTGAGACTTTCACGGCTGTGGGTGTTGCGATGTCTTCATTCTCAACGACAGCCGGATCGGTGTCTTTGGGTACTAGCTTAGACCTAAGGATGATGACCTTGGCCAGACTTAGAATATTGACCGCGTCGAGAACCTCAGATGTCTGAAGCGTTGCCTGGAAAGTGCGAGAGAGGAAGTTCTTCAACTCGATGGCAACAAGTGAGTCGAGACCGAAACTCTCCATCGAAACGTCGGGACTGATCTCTTCAACTGGTACAGCAGTGAACATGGCAAACCGCTGACAAATGCCATTCACCACAATGCTCTTAACTTCTTCGGGCGAGGAGGCCTGCTGAAGCAGCTTTCCGACATCAGTGGCAGCCTCCTTTGTCGGCTCTCCCTCCTTCTCCAGGTATGGAATCTGGCTGAAGATGGGATTCGCAAGAGCCATCTCATCATGTACCGCCTCCATCGACTTTCGATCGAAGCCAAGTATCAGCTGGTGGAGATCATCCTCGTTCGCCTGTGCGCCCATAGCGTAGGTCAAAACGGCGAACACTTCATCAAACGACATGAGAACGGAGCCACGTCTCATAGCGTCTTGTTGCGCAGGAGGCAGTGAGGTGATGGCCAAGGAACCGTCGACCGCCCCGAGGTTCAAGGCGATATATCTGCAGCTCGATCCCTTTTTGCTCTGTGCGAATGCATCTTGGTAGGCGTTACCGACTGCGTAGTTCGATTGTCCAGATTTTCCAAGGATTGCTGTGATGGATGACAGCATGATGAAGAAATCGAGGGAGTCGGACGCACCAAAAGCGTTGTCGAGATTCTGAGTTCCTTGGACCTTGGGCTTGATCGAGGTTATGTAATCGTCGTGAGACATAATTTCAAAAGGATGGTCCTGAAATAATGTGAGCTGTGCTGTACGAGAAAACAAGAATGCACCTATAAGACTTACCCTCAAGACCATTCCTGCATGGATGACTCCCCTCACTGGAGGAAGTCTCTCTGCACATTCGGTAGCGGCCGATTGCACTGATTCTTCATCTGTCACATCACAGCGGATGATATGAAGTTCTGATCCAATGGCGCGCAACTCTTCCTCGAACGCAAGTTGATCCTTCTCTTCCAGCTTGCGGCGAGATAGAGTTGCTACATGTCCCGCACCATGAGTGGCTAAGAACTCGGCGATCCTTCGCCCAAGGTCTCCAAGGCCTCCAGAGATGACATAGGTGCCATTTTTATCTAACCGTAGAGGTTGGGGACGTGCCAGCGTCAACTTGACTTGTGTCTGCTCGTCGCAAATGAGAACGACCTTTCCGGTGTGCTTTCTCGACTGGATCAGACGGAAAGCGTCCTCAATATCGGTCATGGGCATAGCCGTTATGGGAGCCACAGGCTTCAAGGTGCCCTCTGCGAACAATGAGACTACCTTATCGAGCGTTTCTCGCATCTTCGTCGGCTTGAGCCGGGCCAAGACTGTCAGGTCTACAGCAGCAAACGTAACACTACTGTCGAAGGGAACCATGCTAATTTCGTTCTTCCGATAAATATCAGACTTCCCGATCTCGACAAAGGTCCCCAGGGGTGCAAGAACAGCAAAAGAGTCATGGAGCGATTCGCCTGACAACGAATTTAAAACGCAGCTGACACCCTTGCCCTGGGTAAGTCGCAGAATCCCTTGCTTGAATGTCCGAAGCCTGGACGAGAAGATGTGGTCTGGCGGGATATTGAAAGTGTCAATGAGCAGTTGACGTTTTGCGCTGCTACCCACGGTACAGAAGATCTCAGCTCCGATATTCTGAGCAAGCTGAATAGCTGCTTGGCCGACACCACCAGAAGCGGCATGGATCAGAATGGTGTCTCCACGCTCGAGGCGAGCGACCTCAACGATGCAGTGATAGGCGGTGCAGAAGATGACAGGGATTGACGCGCCCACGGAGTAGGTCATACTCTCCGGAAGATGACAGCTGAAGTTCCCGTCAATCCTTGGGTGACTAGAAAAGGGCTCCGCGAAGATTCCGCAGACGCGATCGCCGACGCGGAACTTGCCCTCAATGGCAGAGCCCACCTTGCGAACAACACCGGCACATTCACCGGCCATGGTGACGCCCGGTATCATCTGTCCCATCGCGATGAACACATCCTTGAAGTTGACGCCGTACGCCCTAGCCTCGAGCTCTATTTCAAACGGTTGAAGAGGCTTCGATGGCGTCTCGTCGTCGGCGAAACGGAGACTACTGAGCAGTCCCGGTGTCTCAACCTCGAGCTTGAGGGGCCTATCCGCCTGTTGGAAAGGCCCTGTTTCCATTCCTTGAGCGTAGATAGCCCTCTTGACCCAGTCATCGAACTTGGCATCCACATGAACTCGAGGGATGAGAAGCTGGCCGTTGCTGAATTTGTATTCATCCTCGTCGGAGCGTGAGATGCTAACGGGGGTGGCAAAAGACGTTTTGATGATGTCTGAGATCTGGGACACCAAAACTTCCGGAGTCAACAGAACGTCGTCTTGTACATCGACAGTGACAAAACGCATAGCCGAATTCTCGCGTCGCACGACTCTAGCGAGGCCAGTGATCATCCCCTTCGCGGGATTATGGGTTTCGGCGCCGCTCTCCTGACAGCTGAGCCACAGTACGCTCTTCGCCTTAGTGACGAGTGAGACGATTTGGGCGAATTTCTCGGCGCTTGGTGCAGCAAGAATCGGGCCTGCCGAATCGTCAAGGACAAGGTGGATGGCATCGACGTTGACTGGCTCAGATGACAAGCCATCCAAAGAGCAAGAAAATCCTAGCGCGGTCATGTGTGCCACAAATGCATCTGCAAGAGACCCAATCTGGTCTGACTGCGACTGGGAGATGATACGAATTGAAGGGAAATCTCCTGTCGGCGAAGACTGCTCTTCGACGGTTGTGGCAACGATCATGCCAGGTCTTGCGATGGAGTTCTGCTGATCAGAATTCACCTCCTTGAAGTTGTGATGCTCCAATCGGGCATGCCAATCGACCTCTGGCAGGGCAGGAGAGTCATCATGTTCACCTTCGACCGATGATGCGCAAAGGACCAGTCTGCCGCGAGGCTTCAGAAGCTTTCTCCAATTGCTCAGAGGCTCATTAGCAGAGCCATGCTCCGCCTGCGAAACAATGATGAGGTCGTAAGATCCCTCTTGGAAACCTTGCTGAGTAAGATCGTTTGAATTGTCTAACATCTTGAAATCGACTCGATCAATCCATTGGCGGAGAGACGCCTTGGCTTGATCCAAAGATTCAATGTGGGTTTCGGCGCTGCAATAAGTATATCGATCAAGAAGCAATCCTTCCGGACAATCAATCGCTTTGAGAAATGGCAGCGCTATGTCTGCTTCAGATCCTGCACTCAAATCCAGGATCTTCATGCGTGGCTGCTTGAAGGCCAGAAGCTGAAGATACGAGACTAGCTGGTTTAGCTCGTCTCCTTGCTGTAGTGAAGCCAGGAGGTCGACGTCAGGTTGCCATTCGAGAGCATAGCTCATCTTGCGAGAGAATGGCAGAGTATTCTCGTCTACTGGAGCTTCGCCGATGCCCCGAAGCGCGCCACCTCGAATGTCCAACACGGGCACTAGTGGCGCACCCTTGGTGACTTCTTCGAAGACCATGATGTCAATGCTAGCGAACCGGAAGCCTTTCTGGCCCAGGGTAGAGCATACGGTCCATTTGGTGCCGGGTGTACTGCTGAGTTTGCAGTTGATAATCAGATCGTCGATACTTGTAGGCATCACGGGCCCATTACCAACATCCCTCCGGTACAGTGGAAGTCCGAGTTGGAAGACCGTATCGAGCGAAGCTGGGTGGATGACATGCTCTTGCTGATGTTTGCGAGGCATCATGCTCTTGACATCAGGGATCTTGATCTCTGCGATGCCTCCGCGAGAGCCAATCTGCGCCGACTCTATGCCGGCAAAGGTAGGGCCATAGACGTTGCCGTTATCGGTGAAGTTCTTGTAAAGGTCTTCGCCGCTAATCGTGGTGCTGCAAGCATCGATAATTTCCCGAAGATGCTCGAGGCCGATTGAGTTTGCCATCTTCTCCTCACGGAATCCCTCGACTTCATCTTCCTTGGCCGCCCATTCAACCATGATGTGTCCCGTGCAGTGCTCGTGCCACACATCCTCTGGCGATAGAGCCATAATGCGGAATGTCTCCCATGTACGATCGGTCAGACTTTTAGCGGGTCGCAATGTCAGAAGGACTTCAACATCAGATGTGAGTCCGTCGGTGCGTCGCTCGGGGATCATGATCGACTTCGTGAAAGACACGTTCTTCAGATGAATCTGAGAAATGAAACCCTGAATCTTTCTGTCGACGCTTATCTGGCGCACTGCCTCTACAGCCATGGAGAGGTACCCAGAAGCAGGGAAAATGGCGAAGCCATCGACTACATGGTCACTCAGCCACGGGAGGCTTCCTACACCTAGAAGGTTGCGCCAAGTGGGTTCATGATTAGTGGTCCCCGGGACCCGAAGACCAAGAAGATCGTGTGGTGGATGCGCGCGGAAGCGATGCTCCTTGCTAAGCTTCGACTCGTAGAGAAAGCTTGTGGAGTGGTCCCAAGGATACGGGTCAAGATCATCAACCAATATAGCAGATTGATTCTTTCCCAGAGTCGCCTGTAGCGAGACCGGATATCCAAACTCGAATAGCTTGCCAGCTGTCTCAAGAAGAGTGATCGCAGCATCACGACCTCGGGAAAGGGTGGACAGGTAGCTGGACTTGAAGCTGGTCAAATTGAGCCCCTTGATAGTCTGCCTGACTGGACCTGCCAGGGCACCGTGTGGGCCAACCTCGGTGAAGAGGGTGAGGGGCGCTGGCTCGAGGCCAACGAGTTCTGTGCGACAGAGGAGCTCCAAGGCGTTCCCAAAGCGAACTGGAGACACGAGGTTGTCGACCCAGTACTTAGCATTGAAATCAGATGTTTTGTGTGCAACGGCAACAGAAGAGTAGAATTTGATGGCAGGGTTCGGAGTGTGCGCTTTGATGTGCGCGATGGACTCGAGATATTCGGCTGCGACCTTCTTCATGTGATAGGAGTGGTAGGCCGTGTCCACCTTCAACTTGCGGTTGAATATGGACTCTTCGTCAAGGATCTGTTTAAGCTCATCGATGGCAGTCTCGTCTCCAGAAATGGTTGTGCTGACAGGGGAGTTGATACATGCGACGCAGATGAGTCCAGTCTTCGTCTGCTCGACGTATTTCTTGACATCGACTTCGCCCAAGCCAACAGCCATCATCGCGCCTCTGGCCGAAATGACACGCGCGCATGCCTGTGACATGAAACCGCGCCTGTACGATATCTCGAGCGCTGTTTCGTGGTCCAGGGCCTCAGCAGCATAACCAGCGGCTATTTCACCACTGCTATGTCCGAGAACAAGATTGGGGAGGATTTGATAGCTCTTGAGAAGATCGACCAATGCAATTTGAATTGCTGTGGTAGAGGGCTGGGAGATCTCAGCCTGCCCAACTCGCGAGTTGTCTTCGTCTCTAGAAAGCTCTTCGATTAGACTCCAGTCAGCTCCAAGATCCTTCAGGATCTTCTCCGACTGGAGCATTGACTTTCTAAACACCAGATTCTTCCTGGTGAGCTCGCGTCCCATAGCGTGCCATTGGGCTCCCTGTCCCGTAAATAGGAACACAGAGCGGAAGTTTGACGCTGCCTTGGTGATGCGGGGCTTCTGTCCGAGAAGGTTGATGAGCTCGTCATGGCTGGCCGCTGCGACACTGAATCGAAACTGCAGCTCTGATCTGCGGGACGACAGAGTATAGGCAAGATTAGACAGTGAGGAGGCATCGTCATGAGAAGAAACCCATCCTTGTAGATTGGCCACCATGGCCTGCAAAGATGTCTCTGATCGAGCTGACAGGACGAAAAGCTTGGGAATGGGCAAGGTCCTCCCGTTGGGAGTACCAGAGACGACCTCTTCGGCATGGTCTCTGGTCTTGCCGTTGAGACCGTTATGTCCATTAGTCCCGTGAGTCCCGTTGGTCCCGTTTGGTCCGTTGATTCCATGATCAGGGGACGGGATCTCCTGCACCTCCGTATATCCGTTCGTGCCGTTTTCTTTCGTGTCATGCCCATTGGTGTGTCCATTTGCATGTCCATTGGTATGCCCGTTGGTATGCCCATTTTTGCCATTTGACTTCGGTGGAGCCGGTACTCTGTCCGCTTTCTCGTAGCTGGCTGGAGCTTCCAGGATGACGTGGGCATTTGTTCCACCGTAGCCAAAGGAGTTAACAGACACACGGCGGGGGCCAGTAGACTCAGGGAGTGGAACCATTTCAGTAGCAATCTTCATATCATAGTCAGCAACAGTCTAAATGGTCGGGAAGGATGTTTCATACCTTGATTTTGCGCTCTTCTAGATGTAGTGTAGGCTTCGGCTCGATGAAGTCAATGTTAGGCGGGATTGCGCCATGCTTCAAGATCAGAATGGCTTTGAGTAATCCTGCGACACCACTGGAAGCCTCCAGATGGCCAATGTTTGACTTGATAGAACCAACATACAGACCGTTCTCGCGTTGGCCTTCGCGGCAGAAGACTTCCGCAATGGACGATATCTCTGCGCTATCACCTGCTTCGTTGTTAGGGTCTTCTTTCGGTAGATACATGTGATGAAAAGCAGAGGGATGTGAAAGTAGATCTGAGGAAAAAGTGAGAATCCCATACCAGCTTGAGTTCCAGTGCCGTGAGCCTCGACATATACAGTATCTGCTGGGTTTAGCCCGGCATTTTTGTAGACGAGGCGCATAAGATTCGCCTGGGCAATGGGATTGGGCAGCGTAAGGCCGACTGTCTTGCCGTCCTGGTTTAGCCCAGAGTTCCGGACGAGGGCATGAACCCGATCACCGTCTTTGACAGCATCATCAAGACGCTTAAGAATAAGAGTGACAACTCCTTCTCCTCTTGCGTAGCCAGCGCCGCGGCTATCAAAGACGTAGCATTTACCATCTGGATTAGTCATGCTATGTCCACCTCGTCAGCTCTTGTTCAAATTCCAAATCACAGATGTAAAAGGGTTGAAACATACCCGACACTGCTCATAGGTATAATCTGATCAGGGGTAAGGACGAGTTGGGTACCGGCGACGATAGCCATCTTTGATTCTCTGGCTCGGAGCCCATGGCATGCTTGATGCAAGGCTACCATACTTCCTGAGCACCCAGTGTCGACTGTGCTGGATGGGCCATTAAGATCAAAGACATAGGAAATCCTATTAGAGAGAATTGCAATTCCTGTGCCGATCATATGGGCTTTGGGCGTCCTTGCCGTATCCTTGTAGCCCATTCGTTCGAAGCTACATGAGTGCACGCGTTAGACCAAAGGTACTTCCAGCCTGAGCGAATATTTTCCCTGGGGGCATTCTCGCTCCAGCAAGTAATAAGAACTTACTCAGTAGCATAAGCTCCGACGTGTACAGAAGTATCGGATCCCTTGATACCAGCAATAGTTTGCCCAGCGTTCTCAAGAGCTTCATATGTCGTCTCCAGCAAGATGCGCTGCTGTGGGTCGAGGCAGTGGGCTTCATGAGGGTGTACGTTAAAGAAACGTGCGTCAAAGGCAGTAATGTCTTGGTCCAAGAAGTAAAGGCCCTTGAAGTTAACAGCCTCTTTTGCCTCGGGGTCAGGGTGATAGAACGCATCTTTGTTCCATCTATCTTTGGGGATCTCACGCCAGCCACTTCGACCCTCTGAAAGCATATTCCAGAGCTTGGAAGGGTTATCCGAACCACCAGGCAGACGGCATGCCATGCCAATGATGGCAATTGGACTAGGTGATGGCTCCGTCATGTTTGTGAATGAAACAAGAACAGCCTCAAGGGGTATGTTTCAACAAGAATTTTGACGGAGAGATGGCGGCAAGCGAGAGTTTGGGTAGCTCCTCTGGGCTTTTGAGCTTCAGAATCTCATACAATCCAATTTCCTGTGCATGGGGTAACTGATATTTAATCGAAATCAATATCCGCTCATCGTTCGATCCTACATGGAGGCATCCTCAGTAACACGGAGCACTTGGGATCTCGGTTTCCAGGCTGGAATATCAGGAGGCAGCAGGATCATGAGCGCTAATCGGAACAAGATTTGGCGGTCCCTCTACGATGACGAATCCTACGGCCCTGAAGATAAGGCTCGTGTGTCACAGATATCGATGTTCAGGAGATGAAGGTTGTAGCTGACAGCCTACTGCCGAATCGGTAACGCGGCTTTGGGCGGCTCGCTGTGCCTCGCACGGCAGGTTCTGAACCAAAGTGCAAAACCGCTTTTGGAAGACTCGCGATCCTTCGCGGCCCAGGCCGTATGATAAGTCCAAGATAAGAATGCCGGGTTGTTGCCTGATGGGAGATGCATGTTTTGAAGGATTCAGGGGATCCTTCGATGTGATAGCAAGTCCTGCCGCCGTGGCTTGATCCCGAAGATCCCGATATCTGCCATTTCGCGCCTTTCTCGTGGTATTGCGCCAAAACGGCAGGATGTATGGTCCAAATGGGGTGACGGATGTATGAGCTGCATCTACACAATCTCAATATGGCGTCTGTGAAGCCTTCGCCAAGTTGTGTGCGGCTCGGCTAGCTAGGCGCCGCAGCCACGCGGCACAGCACAGCTTACTTATATAAAGGTGGTAAGCTTTTCGGCACGAAGATCCGTGGGATTCCTGGCTGGCCCCCATGGGGGTGATTCGATTTAGCCAGAATACCCCGCGCCACCAATCTTACATCCCAATTATCCACAAGGCGTCTCGGGCCGACTTGCATACACCTACTACAGTCTTGGGTTAGAGTTCGGAACCAAGGGAATCTCAGCCGTTATGTTTGTCTCACCTGTCATCCAATCGTTTATTGAACAAAGTAAAGGGTTGACCAACCATGGGGTTGGGCCAAGAGACGCGTTGGGCCAATTTACCAATCCACCGGTATCGCCAGTCCCCTTTTGCATTTCCTTGAGCCCTCAACTTGTCGATAGCTTTAAATACGTCGAGTCGAGGATCCTCCACTTTCTCTACAGGTTGAAGTAACCCATCCTCGCCAAAGGCTACCAAAGGTCAGATATCTCCACAAAGCTCGGTTCACAATGTCGGCCCCCGAAGGCTACATTCCAGGATTCGTCTGCACTCTGGACACATGCTCCGTTGAACAATGGGGCTTCGTCCGCTACCGACCGAGTGTTGCCGGAAATGTTCTCTTTCTGGTAATTATGGCCCTGCTCGCATGCGGTCAAATCTTTCTAGGTATAAAGCACAAAACAAGGGGCTTCATGATAGCTATTTGCCTCGGCTTGTTGACAGAGACCGTTGGATACATCGCTAGGGTCCTCTTGAATGGGAATCCCTTCAGCAGAGACTACTTCTTGTGGTACCTCATTACTTTGACTATCGGTCCCGTCTTCATCGCGGCAGCCATCTATCTGACTCTGGGGCGCATCGTTGTGATCAACGGGGAAGCTATTAGCCGGATCAAGCCTCGCTCGTACACGACATTTTTCTTGGGATGCGATATTGTTAGTCTTGTTGTGCAAGCCGTCGGTGGAGGAATTGCTGCATCTACGCCTTTGGATAACCCGCACATGGTAAGCATTCACTCTTGACCCGCTTCTGCTATGTCAATTATCCTTCGACTTCTTCTGGCCTCCATTACTAACATTTTGGCGCTTCCAGATCGATGTAGGAACAAACATTCTTGTCGCCGGCCTGTCTATTCAGGTTGCTTGTCTATTTGCATTCACTGCCTGCAGCCTCGAATTTCTCTGGCGCGTGAAGAAGAATCCAGAAATGCGAAATCCAGAATTTACCGATCTGGTCAACAGCAAGCGATACAAATTGTTTCTGTTCGGTAGGTCTTCTGGCCTAGCTCAATATCACAGGATCTACGATGCTAATCAATCTCGAAGCACTCTTTGGCGCAACAGCGTTCTTGTTTATACGAACTGTCTTCCGTTCTGTCGAGCTCAGCGAGGGTTTTGGCGGAAAGCTTGCCAACCAAGAGGTTGAGTTCATGATTCTAGATGGAACCATGATCATACTAGCATGCTCGTGCTTGACTATTTTCCATCCAGGCTATGGCTTCGGAAAAAGATGGAACGAGGCTAAATTCCGCTTCCGTGCTTCAAAGTCGAAGTTCAATCAGGAGGAAACTTCACAAACTATTACGCCTGGTAGCAGCGAAAAGGCTGCACCGGAGACGTCTGCGGAGAGGTTTTAAGCCTACCTGAATGATTTGTGAAATCACCACGTTTTCAAATCGCAAAGGGGAGTTAACGAAATCTATGAAGGATCCAATATCTACACAGAATACATAGAAACTTCTCGCAATAAAATGCTGAAAAACATACCTGCGATGACTAGTCACATCCCGTTGTTTGTGGCCTCTCATCGTGATCTAACAGTACATAAAGTCTCAAAGCTTCCCTGAGTCTTGGTAGCATCTTCCTATTTGTGCCAGATCTTCAACCATATATCTGACTGATTACTCCATTGGAATAATGTACTTCGCCACACTCTTCGCCAGTGACGGCCCCTTGATCTCAGTCATATGGTGTTTTTCCACCCTGCTTACTACTGCGAGGTCTGGCAGGACGTTGTTCAATTATAGGTCTCTTAACTAAGTGTTCGCAGTTGTTTGGTATTGAAGAATAGTATTAATTACATCTTTCCGACCCCATGGTTTTACTTCATCTGGACATGAACGGGCTTGCCTTCGGAGGCACACTTGTAGATAGCCGATACGACATCAAAGTTGAACTCAAGCCTGCTCCTGGATAGAGCAACACTATCACGTCCCTCGATCAAGTCGACGAAGGAAAGCAATGGGCGTTGATTCGCATCCTCCCAACCGAAAGCAGGAAACTTCTCCTCCCTAGCCTCGACTTTTCCATTGTGATCGACATAGTGCATTAGCTTGAAGCCTTGCTCTAACTCGTCGACTTCATCCTTGTAGTCAAAAGTAGGGACCCATTCCCACGTCAGGCCGCCAGCTGTGCCGTCGATATTTAGAGCGACCTGGGCATCTCCATGGAAGCCGCTTGCTCGCTCCCAGTAGAATGGGATGACAGTGCCGTCCTGAAGCTTCAGAGTCAGAGACGCGCCAGCATGTGTCTCAACAGAGATGGACGTCCCTGACGGGTCAGCACCGGTAGTTGGCGTGGCCAGCCAAGCATGGTTGACCGTGGCAGCAACAGGACGGAGTACGTCGAAGAACATAGTGATATCGTAGACGCCCCAGTCGAATACGATACCGCCACCAGACTTCTCCTTTTCCAGGAACCATCTGCTCGATGGTTGATACTCGATTCCCGCGCGAGCTCTAGGCTGGCGGTTGATGAAGCGAGCATGATAGATGGACCCTACCCCTCCCGTCTCGATCAAACTACGGGCGCGATCCAAAGCTTTGTTTCCCAGATACCGAAAGCTGCACTCTCCAAAGACTCGGTTGGCCTCATCACTGGCGGCTAGCATTTCGGCCATCTCCTTGTTGGATGTGGCCAGCGGCTTTTCGCAGAGAACATGGCGATTGGATCGAAACGCGCGTAGTGTTGCTGCGTGATGCAGGAATGGAGGCACGGCTACCACGACTATGTCGCGCTCTTGCCCTGGAGAGCTGGCGAGCATTTCCTCTGCATCTTCATAGACTGTTGCTTTGGGGAATTTGGCGAGCAGCGCTTTTCGAGCATCTTTTGAGGGGTCTGCAGCAAACAGCTGAACATCATCGCCGAGGCTTTCCGCCGCGACGCCATGTCGCCATGCAATTGAGCCAGCACCGTACAGGTAGACTCGCCAGGTTTGAGGTATTCCGTTGACTTCAGACATATTGAGAACGTGTATGTTTGAAAAAAAAGAGATTGTTCGTCGGTACTGATGTGAGGGGCTTAGAGAAGGGGCATTCTTCACCAGACCCATCTAGCTTGATAGCCGTGGTCGCCAACGAAAAAAGGAAAGTCGAAGTATCATGCAAGCCCCGCCAATCCTTCCGGCTGTATCTTCAGGGTCCATGTAGGCTGATGATTTCGACTTTAGCCTTCGCGATCCTTCGCGATCCTTCCCGTTTTCCAGACGGGACGCCTCAGGTTCAGGGGCCGGAGACAACGGGCCGCCTACTTCAAGATGGTGGCGCGCCCCTCAGTCGTAGGATTTGACCGGATATGGAGGTTCTGCATATCTGAGGGTGCGTAGCTGATGTAAGATGCAACACTTGCCGTTCCGGTAGAAGCGCGAAAAGGCTCTATGTAAGGTACCACAAAGCCGTAGGCGCCGTCACAATGCAGCTTCCGGCGCGCGTAGAATGAAAAAGATCTTTGGTCCGTCACGCCGTTTTGGCCTTTTTCGGGATGTTTATGTGATTGCATCAGACGGTCCGCTTGCCCGGGGACGGAAGTAGATTTATCTTTCTCTGATCCTTCGGATAATGGCGGCCGCGACGCGCAATCCTTCGGAAACTTGGGGCGAGGCTCCAAGTCCCCGACAGCCGCCAGGAGAGCTGGGCCTAAACATTGTGTCTTCGAAATCAAGGAAACACTTTTGATTGATTGTGTCGCTTATATGTTGTTAGAGATTGTATGACTTGTCCCTATGATGAGAAGTCTAAAGACCAAAACAACCCAGCTTCGATCTGTCCGCCTGCAGTAAACCCTTCGATCTAGCTCTTTCGTCGCCTCATAAGATGGTCGGAGCAACAAACGGGAAAAAGCTCGGCCAGGTTTTCAAGGTCGGAGTCATTGGTTTGGGAGAGCTTGCGCAGGTTTGTCGTACACCCGAACTCACGTTTCCGCAGACACTGATAGTTCACCAATACAGGTGTCCCATATTCTTGTGCTGAACAGTCTGTCGACCCATTTCGAGATCACTTATATCTCCGATGTCTCTCAGCAAGCCCTTGACCTCTGCGTGAAAAAGGTCGCTGGCGGGTCACCCAAGACGACGTTGAATGCTGAAGAGTTGATCACCTCTCCTGAAACGGATGTTGTGGTCATCTGCAACGTCAACGCATTCCATCCTTCACAAGCGATCCTAGCTCTTCAGCACAACAAGTATGTGTTCGTGGAGAAGCCGCTTGCACTGAACTACCGCGACCTTGATGCCATCATCGCGGCGGAGCAGATCTCGGAGGCCAAAGTCTTTGTAGGATATCAGAGACGGTATGCCGAATCTTTCCTCGATGCTGTGAAGGAAGTGGGAGGGATGGAAAAGATTGACTACATTCGCGTCAGGGGTATGTTACTGTTCAATATATTGAAGGTTAGAGACCAAGCTGACAATAGATACTGCAGATATAATTGGGCAAAATAGCTCTTTTGTAGACCAGTCTGGCACATTTCCCAAGAAATACACCGACTACCCGGAGCAAGATACGGCAGAGATGAAGTCTACCGAAGAAGAGATGGTCAAAACAGCGCTCATCAAGGAAATCGGAGTTGAGCCAACGCCAGAGTCAATGACGATGTTCAGGTTGTTCACAGGGTAGGTCACATCCCTAGGCAGAGCTGACCTAAAAAGAGAGTTTTCTTCTCGCTGACCCATCACGTCTATCCGATAGACTCGGAGTACATGACTTCTCTGCTTTGCGCGAGATGGTCGGCATGCCCTCACGAGTTGTGGGTGCCTCCCTGGGGCTGCCCATCTGGAACGTGTTGTTCCAATACGAAGGCTTTCCGGTCATGTACGAGTCGGGTATCATCGACGTACCCAGGTTTGATGCCCACATCGAGATCTACTCGCGAGAGAAGATTGTACGCGTTGACTACGATACTCCGTACGTTAAGGGACTTCCTATTACCATGACCATCAGGGAGAAGATCGAGACTGCCAAAGGTGATGGTTACCAAGAGACAGTTGTCAGGAAAACGTATGAGGACCCCTTCACGCTTGAGTTCTTGGACTTTCACTCTTGTGTGACGAAGAAGACTACCCCAAAAACCTCGGCCGTGGATGCTCGGGAAGATCTGGACTTGATAAAGATGATCATGCAGAATGCCTACTAGTACATGCACCTTACTTTGAGAATTGAGTCTGACCTATCTAAAATCAAGATTTGCAAAACAGCGAATGACTTCGCGACTTGAGTCTTGTTGAAGCTACCTTAGGTATCTATGTGATCGGGTGTTTGATTGACCGGCTTCCTCTTTCCAGCAGAGTAAAAGACCCGTAGAAACTGCATTTTTGATCGTGTGATTAGAATACTTGAATTACATAAAGTAATTATACTTATTAGTCAGAGACGCAAATTTGTAAGAGATTGCCATTAAGGCCGTATGTTCCGAAGTTTTTATGCAACGCTATTATGTGTCCTCGACACTTGCAGGCAGAGACCGTGGTCATACAGAAATTGCAGCGCCATTTACGACTCATTCAGTTGACGCCGGTTACCCGGCCGCATCGCCGGGCCAAAAGTGTCGGTCTGGCCTTGATATTTATGGGATTACTGATCTACATACCAAAAGGCCTTCAAAATTATCTCCTTTTTTACCATCTCTTCCATGCATCTATCAATCTCATCAATGGACATGCCTTTTACAACGAAATTGGGCAAGTCTACCCAGCCCCGATAAGAGACAATTAGAGATCAACAGGGCAGCCGGTGAAAGTAAAATAGAGTGTTCATGGTTATTATGTGGGACCTTTACGGACTCGCCGCTTATGAACGTCCCCGCTTGCTTGTGACTTTCAAAACAGGTCTTTTCCGAAAACGAGGAAACAATCACTCATAAGGTACTAACAACAGTTTCCAAATCCTTATAGACACAGGTTATTCCTCCCTATTTGATCGCGACTATAGTACTTGAAGTTCTGAGCGCGTGGTAACGTAAGTTAAGTCAGTGGCCTCCTTCCAGATACCACTCGGTACCGGACTAATTCCATATGCCCAGTGCCTCAAAATATACTTGAATAGAGTAAGTAAGTATTTACTTTGACTTGGGACAACTATCAATAGGCGTGTGACGCAGGGTAGAAGCCCCCAGAGGTCAATTGCTGTTGGGTTCAAAATGATGAATTACTGAAATCTCCCCCAGACGTGTACTACTTTGCGTGATTATATATCCACGTGTACTCCTTGCGTGATCATATATGTCCGAGCTGCTCCTGAGTTGCCTTTGTCCCCCTAATTTGCCCTTGCTAACCTTCTTCTGGAAGGGCCGAGACGACAATGAATTATTTGCATTGTCAAATCCATTGCGTGTGATTCTTCTCGAGTGACATGACTCGGCGTACCCCTAGTAAGAGGATACACCTAAATTGAGTGTGGACAGAGGCGGGATGCTTGTTGGACGTCATGAGTAATGCAGCATGGCGTCTTGATTAGAGAAGGAGTAGATCGACATGCCTCTCTATCTTGAATGCGCAGCAACTCTTACGAGTAGTACTGTATGGCCTGAAAAGTCCATGCGACATACGAAGTATTGACATACAAACTAATCAACAGCGGAGTGGCTGTAATTCTATCCCATGGTAAGCTAAGGAAAGGAGTAAAGTATTTAACAGAAACCATAAATCTCTTACAAGTCTCTTCATACCTATTCCCATCATCATCAATCGCACATCATGAAGCTCACTGCCGTTCTCCTCTCCGCCAGCGCCCTGTTCCTGGGCTCGGCTAATGCGTGGTGGTGTACCGACTATGGAAAACAGGCTAATCATCTGAGCTGCAAAGCTCTTTACCCGGTATGATGGAACCAAGGCACCACTGGATAGTTTGTGGCTGCAAAACGCTTACTCATTTTTGTCACTGTTTACTAGGAACGCAACACCTTTTGTTGCAGCGCAGCAGAAGGAGGAGACCGACACACTTGGAGAGGAGACTGCATGTTAGCGGAGGACACCCCTTGCGGCGAAGGTGGCTTTGAGGGCTGCGTAAGTGATTCCCAAATTTGTGGAGAATCATAGAAGATGAATGCTAATATTCTGTTCCAGTGTTTGTAGAGAATCAGCTTTGACGATTTTTGGGGGAATAATTGGCCATTGTATGTATGCCGTGATTACGGATAGCTTCAGATGCCTGAACCATCGCACACCTCACTGTATCCAGCGAACACTTAGCAGACTTACACCTTCGCAAAGCTTTTATGAGAATTATTTTAAGAGTAACGCATCTATCGGACTTGGGTAGCTTTCAGAGAATCCTGATCTATTTCGAAACACCTGCACATATGACTTAGTCTTGAAGACGAACTCGTCTTCAGCGGTACGTCATCGGCCTTTCCGTTTTGGGCTGGTCCGATCGCCGCAATGCCGGCAGCCTCGCCAGTCAATGTATTGCGAACCGCCGCCACGCAAACCCAAGCCCGCCAGGTCTTCATCTTCACGCCGACAGAATGCTCAAGCTCAAGTTCGTCAACACCACGAACGTTCCCGTTCAAAAGCGTAAAATCGCGTTACATGCGTGTGACACTTGTCGGAGACGAAAGGTGAGGCAATTACTTTACCCCTTCCCCTCCAGGTGAAGTCGGAAGAGTGACAGACTTGGACCTTGGACCTAGCCGGGTGCCGTTCGGGATGCCGGATCGGTGACCAATCGGAGTGCGGTCTCGCCGCGATACCTTCCCTTTTTGGTTGAAGAACAGAGTGTTGACGGATTTACAGAAACGATGTATTCATCCACTAGGGGAAGGGGAGTCTCCGCCTCCGCACGGCGTTCACTGGAGGAAACGGGGCCATCCATTGGGGCCGGCCACTTCCGCCGAGGATGGTTCACCAGATGATGCGGCCGCAACGCCAATAGATCCATCTCTTCAGCATCGGCCAACTGTAGAGGTGGAAACTGGCCCGGGTAGAGAGACCGTCGACAGCGATGATGATGATGCCGACGACGAGGATCAGACAGCCGACTCTATTCATGTTGCAAATTCGGAGCCTCCTGTCCAGAACTCAACGCTTCCACTTGAGCAGCCTCGGGGTCGTTTCCTTAGCGCAGATCCTCAGAGAGGAATCATACGACTTAACAGTATCAACACGGGACCTCCTGTACATGGCCAAGTACCTTCAGTCGGGACAGCAGTGGTCCCCAATGAGAGCCCAGCAATTCTAGCGACAGATTCAACAACTCACATCTCAACTCCTGAACCCAAAGCCCAACCAACAGATCCCCATTCCAGCCACAATGACGACAGATTTGTAGGTGACTTGAATCCAGAGGGTGCATTTCTAGCCGATAGTCCAGCAACAAGTCGCGGTCATGCCGAATCTAACGCCGTCGGTGTCTGGTATTCTCGCAGAAACAAGGGTGACAGCCTCACTCCAGAACTTGCATCGGCAGTCTCGATAGACTATGAAGTACACCAGTTCCTCGCCGTATTGCCGAAAAAGGAGGATTATGACCACCTCGAGAAGATCTACATTCGAGACGTTCACCGGATTCTACCCGTCATGAACCTCGATATACTCCAGGCGTCAACATCAACGATATCCCAAGTTCTCTGCAAGCAAGCCATATGCCTAGCTGCCGGCTCAAATCCGAGCGCTAGACCTTACTTGACTCTTGGTCAAGACTCATCGGCAGTCTTAAGCTACTCGGAATTCGCCGTCCGCCTTTCCTCTGCCATCCGGAAAGCTCTCAGCCTCGGGCTGGTCAAGGACCGAGTCCAAGCCGTCGCCATCATGGTCATTCTCTCCCTGTACACTCACTTCTCGCCGGACCGCCATCTGTCTGCCGAGCTGGCGGCACAGGCCGTCAGCAACGCCCAGACAGTGGGACTTCACCTCCAAAATCCGCCGGCGAGGTCTGAGGATCCGGCGTATTTGACGCGGCTATTCTGTTGTGTCTGGGCCATGGACCAGCTCAATGCCGCTTTCCACGGGCGGCCTGTGATGATACACGAAAGGGACCTGGGGCGAGACATGGTGGAGTGTATCCGAGAGCAAGACAGCTGCTTCCGACTGTTCCTCGAGATTGTGGTCTTGCTCGGGTGCATCATCGACCTGTATCGCCCGGCAGCAAAGAATACGGGCTGCGTTGTCATGGAGGATTTCCCAAGCTTTGATAACCTCGTCGAAAGGGCCCAGGCTCTCGGTGTTGAATCTCGCCTCTTAGGTAAGTTTGGTCTAAATACAAGGCTTTTATGGATGAAGCTAATAGTCTCAAAGCCTCCATGGAGCTCCTCTATCATGGCATTGGCATCTTGTCATGTCGAATTCCTGTTGGCTCGACTAGATCTGAGCACCTTTCACTGGCGCTCAATCGACAAGCTCTCTCGGCTATGAAGATCACAACTATCATTGAGGACTTTGGCAACACGTTATCACACATGACTTTCGTACCATACGCCGTATCTCTATCCCTACGGGTCGCATATCGAGAACTGCGATCATCCAAAGTGCCAATGTTGACGGCAAGATCCCGGCGACAGCTCCAGTCAACTTGCAAGACACTCCGTGGGATGAGCAGTATGTTCAGGTCTGCGCAAGTCATGGTTGACCTAGCCGAACAAGTGATCCAAGAGATAGATCAAGTTTGCACCAACGCCATGAATGAGCAAAACGGGGCCGGCTCGACAAATGCGCCAAATACTCCTCGGCAGGACCAAGCAGTACCACATACCGCGCCTATTATAGGCATCAGCAATGTTGATGACGGGAATTGCCCGCCAAACAACGAGTCGATGCCGGTCTTTGATCCTTCGCTCTTCGAGGGGCCTGCAGGTTTCGATGTCTTCGAGTTCTTCGACCCCGGCGATCTCAATGCCATCGATGCCATCTTGGGAGGCGATGCTCCGCCAGGAATTGGGCCCATGGGCTCTTTTATCTAACTCCTCCTCTTTTTGAATCAGGATGGGGATATCGTCCAGGCTTGATGTTTGTCACGCATGGCATTTTCGTGTGATGGGCAGCGACGTTTCTTTCTCGTGTCTTTCTTGATCAAGAAGGTCCACGTTCTTGGCGCATCAAAAGTTATTTCATATGTATACGAGTACCACCAACATTTGAGGCTTCCTTGCCCAAATATCCATCATTCACTTGCTCGCGGATACGTGCCTCCGTAATCCCAAAGTGAGGTCCCTTGATAGAGGATAGCTCAGCCGCAAATCAGGAATTCAACTTACCCGTGATCTGGCAATGTATGATACTCGGCTAATGTGGCTCAAAAGCCTGTACCAAAATCTGGATCACTTAGGTTGTATTTGGATAAATGGCACTTGCAGCTTCACTTTCTCCGCTTCGATTACTGTTGGTCCTCTTTGCCAGTAATATTGCAGTGACCTTGTCAAGACTATCTTCTCTTGCTCAGTGCCTAATATCATGCATATATTTAAGACAGAGACTAGCTTATTCAACTACGCCGTTAATCGAAAAGGGGGCCTTTCTACCTGTCTTTCCAAGGGATATTTTGACCTATAAATCCCACTATCGCCTGTTTGCTACTCCTAGCAGGCTACTTGTCGCAATGATGTGATGGATCCCGTTTGAGCAACCTTACTAGTGCTCATCATGCCGTCTTCCGCCATAATCTTGCTTGGCCTCTTGGCCTCGAGCAACGCCGCGCCTCAATTCACAGTAGGAGATGGCTCTACAATTCTCGTTCCTGGTGGAGGGACCAATTCACCTAACCCAGTTGGTCCTATCTTACTCCCTCCCATTAACAGCCCGGAACTCGAGCCTGATAAGCGTGGTGTAAGAAAAGCCCCTTTCTCACTTGTTGCCCTTGATCCTGTCCCAGTCAAGATACCCCTGATGCTGGTGTGAATATTCCTAACTTTATATGAAGCTGGGCGAGCCTTTACTACAGCGCAAATCGTCTTTTTCCGGTACGTACTACGGCAACAACTGTTTCCAGTATCCAGGTGAATAACATGACAAAGATCTAGGCTCCCCTATGAGTCCAATACAAGCTCTGGCCGAGCGTACGGAAGATCTAAATGCCCTCAAAGAAACATACTTCACTCTCCTGACGCCCATTAACCAGGGGACTAAACCCTCTTTCGGAACTTACATGGTCCTTCTACACTTGGCCGACATTCTCGCGAGCAAGGGAGTGCAAGTAGACACCATCACCTTGGGCGACGCAACCACCATATTCAGTCCAACCACGAACACGAAGCGTCAAATTTTCGAGATTGGCTCTTGCAAGCCGTCCGATGTCATTGGTCTGCGCGCAACTCTTACGAGTCTCCTTCTCATTTACGGCAACATCCCGCCCTTTGAGATCTGGAACCTCGAGCAGGCCATCATCGCGGCGCTCAAGGCCTGCAACGAGGATGTCATTGCTGGCCCCATCATCCCAGACAAACCCATCCCCGGTGGGCCACTCGTTCCGGACAAGCCGGTTCCGGGCGGGCCCATTGTCACTCAGTCCCCAGTGCCTGGGGGCCCGATCAAGCCAAGTGACTAGGCGACAGCCTCGTCAAGGGCATAAGGCCAAAGTTTTGGACAGACGAGATGGAAGAAAATAAGGTTGTGTGGCCGCGCACGGTGGACGTAAAGAACCTATGCCTAATACTCAGATCCGAGAAAAGATAATGTCCGTAGGAAAGTAGGGAGACAGTTTGGAGGTTTGATGAGGAGACTTATTCGCAGATGCTACTGCGTGCTTATTCATGGTGCAAGTAATTAGGTTTCCCATGTTACTTCTATCACGAAGGCCTTTTCTTCGCCTTTTCCAAGAAATGCTTGATTGACATAAGCTCATGGTTCTGAAATCGTCATGAGAATGGTTTCATGTTTGCTGAAAGATGGCATCAATGCGGCCAGCCCTACGAAAATCGAGAACCCGACATCGCAACTCCCATTTTGGTCTCTTCTGACACTTCCGAAGTCCGCGACGATAGATCGGATGATGGAATGGTATGTAAATAACGATAAGACAAGCAATTTTTGGTCCATCTGGTCTGCTTCGTCCAGACCTTGAGTTCATCCTCATCTCAAAACAAATAAGAAATCAATGAGACGGGTAAGAGATTCATCCCATGGTCTCCGGAAGGAGTCGCAAACGAGTATCAGTTATGGTTCCCGTGCGTCGCAGAAATACCGAAGCTCCCGACAAACCTCACGAACAAGTCCTACCTATCTCAAAGACCGATATGTCATTGTAAGAGACGTACCACGACAGGATGTTTCGAACCAGCCTGTCCCCCAGAATTCATCTTCGCAACTTAAAGGCGTTTATCCTTGACCTCGCCGGGTCTTGCTACCAGACCCTGTTCTAGAAGAAGCGCATGATAACTCAAAAAGGACCCCCGGCAAGCTGTCATTGTCTCAACACTGCGGAAGCTATCTCAAGTGTGGGAAGAGAAAACTCAACCTTATCCCGCGGAGTCCCCAACTTCTGTCTTTCTCTCTCCCGAGATTATCCTATCTCGGCCTTGGGACTGAAGTCTCCGAAAACTCATCACGAGGACAGCCAGCCCTGCCCATCGTCCGAGGTCGTTCCTGGACGATGACCTCAAAGTCAAAAGAAGATTCTACAGAGAACGGGAATCCCTATCCTCGACGGTCACGTTTCACACGAAACTCCCGACCGAACGCCGGCCATAGTGCCGAACGAGCACGGAGCAAGGCCGTAGGCCGCAAGCCTTTTGACGTCGGTATGGAGAGCCCCAGTTCCCACTAAAAAGCTTACCCGTCTCCGACCGGCCGTAAAAACCTGGATGGTGGTGGAGTTGACGGACGCGGGAGGAGGTTAAGGTAAGCCACCACCACCACCAGAGCAATTTTCCCTTCTCGGATTTCCGAAAACGATGTTTATCATCTGCCATCTTCCCTACCTACACCCAAACCAGAAAGCCAAACTTTCAGAGTGCGCTTGCTACCACGCTGACAAAGACGCCCGCAGGCTGAGGTCCCATCATCCATGGTGTAGCCTTTTTTTTCCGGCCGCTGCAAACGGATGAAGCGGGTGAAGCGGGATACCATGCCACGAGGTCTGTTGCGACGCTTCGCAACGCCGTCTCTGTCTGCGCCGCGATCAGGAACCTAGATAGATCTCACGAACCGGCGCCGGGCGGACGAGTCAGTTTCTCACCAAACAAAACGATACCATCGCCGAACCATCACAGCCCCATCACGATCGTTTCCTCTTCCCGCAAACTTTCAGGGCCCATGACACGTTATCAGCTTCTCTCATCTTGCCTAGACGCCGCTAGTGTTACCATCACGCGTTATAACGCCGGGAGAAAGCCAGTACGCAACGGATGCGAACACCCATCAAGGGATCGTGGCCAAGGAATGGAAAGCAACAATAACATACAATCAACATGCCTTTCACAACAAAAGTGTAAAGTTTCCCGTTGCTTGCGCTCAAGACCATGCCAAGCCAAACACCATCACCCTCCAAAATCTACAAACACGCGACTTCGGCGCCTTCCGCGACGAACGCGTGCTTGCAAGAAAGCAAAAGCATCTGCCACCATCTACAACTCTATCCATCTCGTAATTCCATCTAGTCACCACCACTCAGTCCCAGAAAAGAGGAAACTGAGTTTGGATACCCTCACTCCGTGACACACCAACAGTCGGATATGACCACGCCGTCACGGCGTGGTCCTAGCGAAGCGCAGAAAGGGCACCATGACGAGACGAGTCATGGTGGCCCAAACTCTTCTCTTCGACGCGCGCACGGGAAACAAGGACCCTGCCATTCAATACATTTATGCCAGAGTTCACGTCGACCGTGATGGTTCCTGAAAGTCAATCACGGCCCTTGATGGTAGATGACGACCTGTCGTCAACACGCTTGACTTCCACGAGATGCCGTGCGCGTAAGGATTCCGCTGTTTACCAACGGTCTGGTTCTCGGCCATGATTGTGGAAATACTGCTGCTTGATGACTCAAATGAGGCTCTCAGACTCGTGGCCTCTGCGGCGTCTGGCGTCATGGTATGAAGATTTGTGTGAATCCCTCCCTCTCTTCCCGGTCCGTGCCAACGCCGCCTCTCCTTCACAGCACGTACGACATATTGGCAGGGCATAGGGGTCCTCTCAAGCCACATCCAAGCGGATGGGAACAAAAATCGTCATCCTCTCCGTAGTTCATGGGACCGGCCACGCAGATCAAGGTCTATCCAAGTCCATCCCAAGCTTTGCCCTTCCCCTTGCGTAAAGAGAGGAGGAAAGTCTCCCAGACGTGTGTAAGTGCACTGCTCACCTCGCGGCTCCAGACACTTACTCCAGCCAACTGTCGCATCATGTTGAGATGGTGTGCCAGAAACGATTTGTCCGCCTCGCAAAAACACCAGACGGCACTTACAAAGCAAACTCGTGGTCGATCTTAAGCAACCACGCTGCCTACTATAGTCCCACAATGCCCTCTCTAACAGCTCAACAGCCCACACGAGAGCCAATATGCTACCACCCATCGTGCTATACCACCTTTCGCGGGCATCAAGATGGCCTCCCAGGCTCCTGCAGACGTTGTTTTCTCCGTGCATTGCCCTGTGCTCCCTCCCATGATGGTGGCTCCCCGTCCCCGAACCCATCTTGATGACGCCCGATGCCAAAGCACCTTCATTTCTTGGCGCCGCAGCCAGTGTCACACACACGGAACCGAAGCTAGCGTCCCCTCACCCCGCCCATAGCAAGCGATTCTCTGTCTCGTGTGTCTATGAAGGCAGGCCCAGACCTCTGTGGCCTTCACACCTTTTGTCGACTGGTGTAAACCAGTACGGTAAGTTCCTGTGTGACCGCAAACGGCTTTGCCTGAGCCACATCATTAACACCATCCCTCATTTCTTCCCAGCCATTTGGGTATGGCTCCGCCCTCTCCGGCCGCACGGAGTGGGTACCGCGGAGTGGAGAAGTAGGCAACTCCTTCGAC